ATTCCAAGTGAAATTGTGTACAACTTGGATTGGATTGTTTGAGCACATCTTTCAATTAGCCAAAGAGCTGCCCAGGGCTGGTCATTATTCTGAACATGACCTCTCACGAACTCAAAACGCAAAAACCCAGAATGCAGGCATATTCACAGCCAGAAAACCAAATCAAATGCAATGTCATTTATAATCGTTTGTGACTGACCATCCCCATTACCACTTCCATTCCCATTCCCATCTAGCATAGTTTTTCCCCCTGGTGTCCAGCTGGTAGAGATTCTCACACATTCTCACATAGAGATTCACAGAGAAAGAGACAATGAGAACAGCAATTTCCATTTAACGAACCTGTGGGCCCCCTGGCAAGGGGCGTGGAAACTAGAACTAAAACAATTTAAATCATTTATGATTTATGCCTAGTGCAAACTAAATCTAAATTAATACAAATCTCTGCGAGAGTTGTCTCTGTGGAATTTGGGTTACTCCACAGTTGATTGTGAGAAAAGGATTTATCAGCGATTTTTTTTCAACTCAATTCGGAATGGAATTCTTCCTGAAATCTCATAAGGAAGTCGACAATTAACCAAACCTCAAATTAAAAGATATATATGCGCATAATTAAGTTACAGTTGACATAATTAAATGATAATTGTTGGGCACACACGCACATTCTGCACATCATGGGTATATATACATATATGCTGAGTTGTTTGTTGGTTTGTTTTCTTTTTTTTGGAGGGGAAAGAGGTTTAATTTGTGTGTCGTCCGGTCTCGCCCTATCCCGAGCCTCCCTTAGCTCCTCATAACCACCGCAGTCCATTTAATCCCGCATTTATATTTTTCTGTTCGCCTTTCGTTGATTTATGCCTCTTGCTAAAATACAAACAAAATATATATAAAAAAATACAACAGAAAGTACAAAAAGTGTCACCATCAGCGGTTGGCATTTATTCAAATTGTCCCCCCAAAAAAAAAAGAAAATAAAAGAAAATGTGTAGCCATTCCAATATCCCCTCTGCATTTTACCCACTCCACATATTGTCATCAAAATCAAGCGACCATAAGCTAAATTCACTTATAAGAACATTTTGATGAATTATTTGGTTAAATTTATATATGGGGGCTCTTATTTTATGCCCTTGTACTGGGAACTTGAAAGATCAGACTTCTTGGAAGGGTAGAAATGTTAGTTTTTGAACATTTAATGTCCCGAAAATAAGATCCAAAGTTCTTAGAGATTTTTGAAAACCTCTAAAGTTGTTTATAGTTTAATGTCTCATTAGCTGTTAGATTCAAAATGGTAATATTCCAAAGAGGAAGTGAAAGTATTAGGGGCTTAAGAATTTAGTCAAATACAAATCCCCAAGAAATCTCAAAAGATCATCTGCCATTTTCAATATTCTCTCAAACCCCTTTAACTATTTTTTAACTGAATCAAACCAGATTAGATTCCAGCGAGGGCTGTCTAGTCTCTCTCTCGCTCTCTTAAAAGCGTTAGTTTTAATCAATTAATTAAGTCGTGATCCTAGGCAGCTGCGGATTTGCGGTGGGTCGAATTGTGGTCTCGGTTCAGTTCCATTCGAAATGTGGATGCTGCGACGACAATTAGCGCAATGTTTGAGTCTGTTCGCGGCGCGTAACAATTAAAACATTGTGTGTGTGTGTTTTGTTTTTTGGTTTTTCTGCAAAGAAATTTCATTGTGGAATTTCATACAAGAGAAACGAAAAAAGAAATTGTAATCCAAGTTGTGGTGGAAGTAAATATGCGACTCTTTGGCTGCGTTTCGGGCAGCAGGGATGGCAGGCAGGAGGAGGACTATGTGGACATGGAAATGAGTGAGTTCCCTTGGAGATGCACAGATACGAGGTCCATTAAATTGTGATCGATCACAGCCGAAAAGCACAAAGATATTCCACCGAACAAAGGAAGGCATTTTGTCTTTCGCCGAAAGAAGTCTTTAACAATTACCAGATGTTCCTGCACTCAGCCAGCTAAAATATATATACAAAACACATATGCAACTCAATGTCAAACTGCGCTTTTTCCCCCTCTTTTCTTGGTGCTTTACTTGCATTTTCTGTGCAAATTTTCAACAGCCGCGATGTCGCTGTCGCAAAACTGTCGTCTGCCATGTAATTGAGAAATAAATTTCAATGCAGCCGCCTCGACAGCCTACTCCCAGCCTCCGTCACAAAATCAAAGTTTGCAAAACTGAAGCGAAACAAAAGCCATTAAGGCAAAAGTCGGTCGAGGAGAGAGACCGAATGGGCAGGATCAGAAAAGTAACCCCAAAATATGGACACTGCACATTGACAAAAGATTGTATAAATATTTATGGTTGTGAATTGAAAAAGGTTTTTTTAAGTTTTAAGCTTAAAACAAAGTTTATAGAAAAAGTGTTTATAAGTTAATTAATAGGGAATGTGTTACATTTTCAAATTGCAATGGCATAAAATATTTATTCTATAAATATTTAAAATATTTTTTTATAAAATCCTTGATTAGAATTGATTTGACTTTACTTTTCAAGGTGATTTGTACATCCTTTCAAGGTATATTAATTCTAATCAAAAGCTTTTACCATTGTGAAGGAGTCAGTTCCGTCTCTATAAATCATGTAATATTTTAAATAGAGTATGCAGATTTGTTAACCTAATAAAAACTAACATAGAAAATGTTTCCGAATTGAAATTAATGCTTTTTTAGCTCAGTTATGGATTTTTAAACTTTGATTTATCCAGAAAATTTGTTATATTTTCAAAGATTCAAAGAATACAAATATTTTAGGCTTTTTATCAATTTCCGATTTAAACATATAATTCCATTGCAGACTAAAAGGAAATCTAAATGTCTGCTTCCCAAAGTTAGGTTTCTTTATTGTTTAAGTTCAAACTAAATCTACTTTTGTATTTTCGAGAATCCTCTAAAGAACACTTCTTTTCTCTCCGTGTTAATGGAAAGGATAAACATTTATTCGGTCACAGTAATTAATCACAAAAAATGAGGGTCAAAGCAAAGCTTTCGGAAACTAACCAGAGTTCCACTTAATTATGTCGTCAAGGGTTCTGTTTTTCGAATGCATCAAATAACATTTGACAATATTTTTTTGCATACAAAATAAAAAGCAGAAGTGGAACAAAGCGAGGGCTTCCCCTTCATAACATATATGTTTGTATTTTATATAAAAGACATCGAGCAGAAGTTGCTTATAGCTGCTGTCTTATAATAAGGGAAAAACAGAGAAGTGCAAAGCGTAACAGGCGACAGGAAGAAGAGAGCGAAAAGAAGACAGGTCCAAAGATAGAAAGACACTGGAAAAAATATTTATACAAGGATGAAATATTTAAAAGGATTATATTTTATAAGATTTAATGATTATGAGAATGATGACTGTCTTAAATTCTCCTCTTTAATTTGGATTTTTTTATTTATTTATTTCTCTTTTATAAAATACTTTTTCCTAAAGCCGTTTTATCTATTAAATTAAATTGAAATCATTTTAAATCAAGAACTAAGGTTCCCCGCTAACTTTAGAACCTAAAAGCAATTTAAATTCAAAATTAAAGCTTCTAGAATAAACTTATGTGCTGATTTTTCAGCAGTTGATACACCAAATGTTCTTCGGTTATCTTCCAAATTAAATTCTTATAAATTTATTTAAGAAGTAAACTATCTTAAAACAATTCCCTTGATAAGCTCTTCGCTCAGTGTACTGGCTGCTGAAATCGCCGCCATTTGTGGGTGTCAAGAAGTTCAGATTCTGGCAAATGCAACAGTGGATTTCGGTTTGGCCAGGAGATAGCATCGCTTCGTCTCCACTTCCCAGCGCATCTTCTTCTGCCGTTTGTATCTGTATCTGCTAGTGCGTGTATCTGAGTATCTGTATGTTTTTGCTCCAGAAAGAGATTTATTTAAATGCTCAAAACGTGACTAAATTTATGGGGCAACCTGAGGCGGCTGCCGGGAAAAATGGAAACTGATTAGTCCGGCCTAATTTATTTGGCTAACATCGGGAATATGTCCGCTCTTCTAACAATAAGTTTGAAAATTTATGTTGTTTTATTTGGTTTCAATCTTGAAATCTTTTGTTTTCGTTTCACTAAAATCCAAATCTCTTAATGAATCTTCCGGACAGTCGCCAAGTGAGTGTCAGAGCGGAATGTGGAAGTGTGTGGAAAGTGCAAGGGATTCCTGGCATTATATCTAAATTCCTAAAGTGTTGAGCAAAGCCCTAGGAAAAGTTTTCGAAAAGTCTTACAACACCATTGTACAAATATTACACTTTGGGATTAAACATAGTGAGAGTGAGTGTAAAATGTGTGGAAATGTTAAAGAAATACATTAAGTGCCAGGGAGTTTTTATAAAATATATTCATTTTGGTGATGATTTCTAATTACTATCAATTTAAGTTTATAAATGGATACTATGTAGAGAAGTTTAAGTGAGTAAAAATAATAAAATAACAATCTGCTAGGAATATTTTACTAAAACATAAAGAAGAAATCCCATCAGTCAAAATATTTTTTCTTCAAACATAAACCTCTTCAACTTCTCCCACACTTTTACCTCAATTTATCAATTAAATCTATTTTCTCAGACCTGACTTTAGAGAAAGATAAGGTACATTTCTCTCTGATTCAGGTGACACAAGTCCTTGATTGCAATTATCGCACATTTGCGGCGCTTAAAGATCCCTAGGAAAAGTCAAATTCCTCGAAGGAAAGTCAAACAAAAGTAGGAACTATTTGAAGAGGCCACAAATCACGCAGGTCAAATCCTAAGTAAACACATTATTTATCACAGACACACACTGAATACAAAATACCGAATACTAGAATACAGAAAAACTATATATATATATAGGACTTGGGAGGAGAGATTACACACGGAGGTCGCCTTGGGCCAGTGCCTGGCAGCTTATCAGCAACTCCTCCAAAGTCTCTGGAGTTTTTTGTGGCATTTTTGCTGATCGTTGCTCAATTTGTTTCTTGTTTCATTTTCCAGACAACTGTGGCAACGTGAACAACGCCAGTGGAGCGAGTGCATCCGGGTGCATGGGATTGGGTTACAACATGGACGACATCCTGATCATCACAGCCAAGCACAGCGAGCGGGCCTATTTGAGGGCCACCTTCCTGAAGAACCATTTCGACAAGATCACCAAGCAGCGCGGACGGAAGCCATTCAAGTGAGTAGAAAACTAGATTTGAATAACTAGATTTTAAGTGAATTAAAAGGCTAAAAAGTTAACTAGATTTAAGAGACTGCAGTGGTAATAAAATCATAGTTCTAATAGTGTGGAAATTAGTATTAATTGTGTATAAATTAATTACCGGATGTCTGGCTTAATTTAGAAACCAGACGATATGTTTAAAGAGCGTGCAAGCCATTAAGCTAACTTATTTAAATTCTAGAACACAGGCAAAAAAGGAAAAAAATAATAATAATTACAAGTTATCAGTGTGACTTTAGTAGAATTTCAAGTATTAAGTTAACATATTCATTAATTATTCTTGCTGAATACAAATGAGATTTCATTGCAAGCGTGTTGCACTTTCCATTTCCGTTCGAGATGATACATTTCATTTAGATTTTCTTTTTTCATTTAAAAAAAGGAATTGTAAATAAAATTGGTATTACATTTAAAAGGACACAATTCAATGAATCATTATAACCATCTAATCTCTTAGTTAGCCTATTTAAGCTCTCAACATTCCATAAATAAAATCGAAAGATATTTAAATGTGACAAAGTGTTATTCAAAATCCTTTCCTTTTTTCCTTCAGTTTTCTCCACATCAAAATTGACGATGGTCCCTTCAGCGAGGAGATCGCCCAGAAGTACCAGAGCACTGCCCTACAGATCGTGATCCTGTGTCCCGCTCTGCTGGCCCTGCCGCACAGCTTCCTGATGACCCAGCTTTCGGCTATTATACGCGTGGAGAAGGTCCTGGCCATCCTGCTGGACGTGGGCGAGGATAAGGTCAAGGAGATGCACAAATCGGCGCTGCCCAGCTACTACAAATGGCGTCGTTGTGTGGTCAGAGACAACGATCAGGTGCAGATCAGCAATATCCTGGGAATTGCCACCGACATCCTGGGAAGAGCGCTGTGCCAGCGACCACCATGCCAAGATAGCTCCTCTGGAGCCTCATCCGGTGGTGGTGGCTTGTCACGCAGCTTTTCCAGCTGCACGGAGGGATTCACTGTGCTACCCAAGAAGGTAAAGCTGGGCCAGAACAAGGTGGTAGCCCTGCTGGCGGAGGCCCTGGAAAAGAATGACACCCTGAAGCTGCTGGTGGAAAAATCCGGGGAGCTAATTGAGCTTCGCAACTTCAAGTGTCGCAATCCATACACCCTGCAGTTCTCCATCCCAGAGGCCTGCATGGAGATCTCTACAATGATCGAGATCAGGATCGAGAAGAATGGCAAGAGCCTGGGAGCGAGACCCATCAAGTGCGAGAGTCGTCTAAGGGAGCTGGAGCAGCTGCTAAGGATCGAGGATTCGCCGATTGAGTTCATGTGTCATGCCTTGGGCATTGGACCCGTGGAGAGAGATGCCTTGGATCAGCATCTGCTGCAGTGCTTCCAGCGGAACATGCCACCCAATTTCCACCTGCTGAGTGGCGGTAACAGCGATCGGCAGCATCACTTCTTCAGCCGCCTGGAATCCAGCCCAGAGGAGTATCCCACGCTGCTTCACTTTGCGGCCAGATGGGGTCTCAATCGACTCTGCATCCAGCTGATGGAGTGTCCTGGTGGTGACACCGCCTGCGGTGTTAGGAACTGCGCGGGACGCACTCCAGCAGAGCTAGCCGAGCAGGAGGGACATCACAAACTCGCCCAGAACATTGTGAGCTTCGCCGAGTTCCACGAACTGACCACCATGTACCACTACTTTAAGGGCGTGAATCCAGGCCAAGGGGAAATCAGTCCCAAGCCCAGTAGTTCTAGTTCCAATGTGGTCATCGAAGCACAGCCCGGAAAGGGTAAATCACAGAAGCCTCCAAAGCAACTTCCTACGGCTGAGTACATGGAAATGTCCAGCGGATCGGAGCGGGAGAATACACCGGAAGTGAGACCCAAAACAGAGACCATGGCCATCTCGAATCTCAACTATATCAGCGTAGAGACGGAAGACGAGAACCTGCAGGCTTCCGTTGCCGAAAAGAAGGTGGAGTCGGAGAAGAAGCTACTGGAGGCTGGCGCCCAGCCGGGACCTGAGCAGACCACCAACGAGCTGCGGATCAACGAGCCACCTTACTACCAGTCCAAGGAGCAGAATCAGCTGAACAAGGAGCAAGTCAGATCCCTGGATGAAGTGGATGCAGCCCCTCTCTATCAGACGGACAAATTTAGCCAGGAGTGCTCACAGCTGCTGGAGAATCAGCTGGGCAATGACTATGTGCTGCAGCCTTCGAATGTCCCGGTGACTCAGGACGATGGCAATTATCTGTTCCAGCCCTCGAACCGACCTGTCGAGGAGCCCCTCCGGCCGAGCCGTTGTGCCACCAAGCAGCCTGGCTATGGCACTCTGAAGAGAAGTGCCAGTGATGCCTCCGCCGCAAGCAACAGCCGCTCGAACGCTGACGATGAGCTGGCCGAGATTATGCATGACTTTAAGAATAATGTCCTGTCCATCCGGGATGTAGAGCTGCTGGTGGAGCGGTGGAAGCACCGCAACGATGTCCAGCAGAGCTTCCGGGAGAAGCAGGATCAGATCGATCAGCTGCGCAGGGAGTACGAGCGGATCCAGGAGCAGGTCAAAACGCATCTAAAACGAGAGACGCCCTTCGAGAAGTTCAAGAAGTTCTTCTCCCGCGGCAAGCCCCAGCAGACGCAGCAGGGCAACGACAGCCTGCTGGATGAGACCAAGTCCTCGATAGCCACCAGCTGCAGCTTCAAGTCCGGCGGCGGAGTATCTACGGGAGTGGGAGCGGGCAGGCCCATCAGCTCATTGAGCCTTCAGAGCGTGTCCAGTTCGAGTTCGTCCTCGGGAAGGCTTAGCACCGGCAGCAACTGCAGCGGTGCCTCTCTGGGAGATTCTGGCACCCATTCGGATCACGAGGATCGACGTGGATTCCCGCCGCACTGCCGCATGATGGACAACTATTTGGTGCCACCGCCACCCAGGCCTGTGTTTACGCCGAGCTCGACGCCTGGAGATGAACGTCATCAGATTGTATTCCCCTCTCCCATGTCCAGTTGCCAGCGCTTGAACACACCCACCAGTCCCACAGGTTCGGAGCACTATCAGATGTTCCCTTCGAACATCCCTGTTTACGGTAGCCAACCTCTGGCCAGCTCCCAGAGCAGCAACTACCTGAACACCATCATGGAGGCCAAAGAGCAGGCGGAGACGCAGCAGCAACACTACCAGAACCAGAATGGAGTCACCTTGCAACCCATCAAGCTGAATGAACGCTCGAACATCATCTACGGCAAACTGACCAAGAGCCATTCCACCAGCGGCTGCAGCTCCTTCAAACCCAAGCAGATCCCAGTGCCATGTCCTCAGGTCGGGAGTATCGAGGTTCAGGCGGAGGTCTACCAGAATGTGGGTGATATTCCCCCGGAGAAGGACAACTCCAAGGCTGAGGCAGAGACAGAAACGACGCCCAACTACATGAACTGCTGAGCGATACAGAAATCGAAATCGAAAGATTCGAAAAGAGATTCACATATAGTTTAAGACCCTTTTCGAGTTAGATTTTGAGAATAAGTTGGGAATTTGAATTACCCTCCATTATATTCGAAATTAACAACGAAAGCCATTGAACATTGTCCCTTTGGAAGGATGAAATGAGTATGAACTAGTTTTCGCTATTTTAATGTTTAGTTTTAAGTTTTTCGATAATGAATTTGAGGATTGCTTTTGGAGATTTAAAAAAGTAAATTATAATAATTAAAGTTTTTAAATCTCTGTAAAGCAATTTCAAGATCAAATCGAAGTTAATTGTATTATCTCTAGATGTAGTCTGCGGTTTCAGCATCTAATTGTACATTTTATGAAACGATTGCAAGCAACCAAATCAAACATATCGCTAGCTGATAAGCCTAAGTCCTAAGTCGATACCAACGAATTTCAAACGCGATTCACCTAAGGATATCATCTAGGATACATGACCATTTATCGCTAAGAACCCCACACCTTTTGGCATGCCGTTAAGCATGTAAAACTCGTTCATTCATTCTTCACACCTTCACCCCGAAACCCCCAGAATAAAAAAGTTAAACGCAATAAATTTTTTACATATAAGCAGAGTGGAAACTTGTTTTCATTTGGCACGTGCAAAGGCGTCGGAAAATTGTGCGGGAAATTGTGGGAGGTCGTTGGGTAGCGTTTCGTGGCAAACAGGAAATCGTGCGGAATCCCCGGCAACACGCAAAATGGGATTGCAACTGCCAACGTAAATTTCCCTTTTATTTCTCGGTGGGAAACAAATGCAAGTTTGCATTCATGAAGAGCCCGCTGACTGGAGCGAATTTTCCGGGCTGCGCTGCTCGTCCTTTTTTAAATGATAGCAAAGGGAAATGGCTAAAGTGAAAATATGGAAAAAAGTGTCCTGTTTGTAGCATACTTTTGTGCTGGCATTGAAATGGCCCCCACAAGGATTAATAGCTCAAAAAGAAGTATATTTTATGCTTAAATTAAAAACGTTTATGAAAGCAGAAAAGTGGAAATGAGCTTTGAAAAGGGCTTCATTTTTTAGAGTCCTTAATTCTATATTAAAGGTAAGAAGTATTTAATGAAATAAATAAATAGTACATTTTAAGTATTTGGGCTTTAAAGAAATATTTAGAAGCTACAAACCAGAAATAAATACTTGTTCATTGGCAAATATTCTCTGTTAACGATTGGTTTATAGTGCGAATCCTGACTGAACCCGACTGAACTTATATCCTTGGCAACACACACCCAAGCCCTTGAGTGGCTCGTCGCCATATTTAATATTCGGATTAAAAGAGCATAACGCTGTTGACTTCGCACAACCAATACGAAGGCAATTCTGTTTGTGAGCCATAAAAATGCTGAAATGCAAAATGTGAAATGCGAAATGGAGAAGCCTCGCAACCGACATCCGGCGCCCGGGGGCGAACATGCAGGATGCATCAGATTCACACCCACATACATATACGACAAGCAGCAAGGATTCGCACTAAGCCGGCATCTCTTAATTCACACTCAATGGGCCGCAAAAATATATCTCTCTCTGCTCCGCTCGGCACCCGATGGCCGATGCGTAGTATTTTTCCCAGCTGACTCGCAGCTTTTGTCCTTTTGCATCCTTTTCGGCAGCCATTTGCCATCTGCTCTGTTACATGGACACCCATACAGGCGAGTGACAGACAACATGGCCACAGGCAGTCGGCCATCATTCTCTGGCCTGCACTATTTCCGACTCCTTGCGGCTCCTCTTTAAATATCCTTTTCAGGGTATTATCCTTATAGTCAGAAGCTTATAAAATTTCAGACCCCATAAATCATATATATTATTGATCAGCATTAATAGCCGAATCGATCTAACTATGTCCGGCAACAATTTATTTTTTTTCAAAATTTTCCAAATATTATAGGGGGTTAAAAATTAAAATTATTTAATTTTAAGTTTGTTTACTGAAAGGAAGATTATTTTTTAAATTACTATAATGCACAAATTACCTATAATGTTCGGTTTTATATACTTCGAAATATTTTAAATTCATCCTTCTGTTGTACAAATGCAAATAAAAAGAGTATTAAAGGTGCGACTTCGTGCGTTAGCTTTTTTTTGTTGTTTTCTCTTATCCTCCTATTTTGCTTCTCTCTCCTACTATTTGCTCCTCTTTTGCTTCTCTCTGTTGTGTTGTTTGTTTTGTTTCCACAGCGCTGTAAATGCTGTAATCAAATGAGAGAGCAAATAGAGACCTTGTAAGAGAACGAAGCTTTGAGAGAAAGTCAAGCTTTTACGCAGCTGCATGGAATAGGTTCGGGAAGTAAGAAAATATATTTTAGCTTACGCTTTATATTAATTATATATTAAGTTTCAAGATTTTATAGACACCTTTGAAAAACTTCAAAAGACCAAAAGTAGGTTCTCAAATTTCCATAATTACTTAATTCTGTCTATATTCTGTTTCATGACATTAAAATCAGGTAATATCTCTAAAAAATATATATATTAAAAGTCTTCCATATTTTTTAGAAAGGGTATAATCAAGCCAACTAGACAGCAAATCAACTGAGAGGAAGAGAACCAAGCTAGCAGGGAGAGCAAGCTATCGAAAGAGAGACGAAAGCTCTCTGTTCGACAAGGTAAAAGCGAACAAGTGTGTATAAAAAGGACATTTCGTTCAGTCGTCGACTCTGTTAATTAAGCGAAACTGCGACGCAAAAAGGCGGAACAAATTCATTTCATAGAAGAACATATATAAAAACGTTTTTCCTTTACGCACAGCAAAAACAAAGTATTCAAATTTGTTCAATTTAAATATTTGCAAATAAATACAAACAGAAAGTGTACATACCAAACGATAACTGTGCAACTAAAATCGAAGGACCTGTGAAGCGGTGTTGTTGTGTGCAGTCACCTACGTAAAAAGGATACTCTTGCGGGCATTTTTCCAGCTTCCACTGCGTAGAAGAAGTCCTGGGAAAACACACACGCGCCCACATTTAATTAGTCTCCCTCCACCTCCACTGAATCTTTGATTCGTCGAAAGTCCGGGGACCAGACGCTAATTAATCCTGGGACTTGCTGGCCACCGCAGCTCATAAGCGGAAACGGAAACGGGGGAAAGCAAAAAATCCAGCAGCAGCCGGAGATGCATTAACCAGGAAGAGACGCCGCTCGTAAATAATTGAAGGTAGGCCAGGTCCTGCTGCCTGTCAGCACAGTCATGAAATTTATGGTAGATTTTCCACCTGCTCTGCCACGCATTAACCTTCGTCCTTGGCGCGACTTGTGTGTGTGCTCCTCTGGCCGAGATTTTTTTCAAATTTTAATTATTTATTTGCACCACTCGAAAGCAGCAACATTTGCCACACTCGGTGCAAGTGCCGCCGAGTACTTGAAACTTTCACCAGGGCGGCACATTTTTAATGATGTTCTAAACGATCAACTCGAGGCCCCTTCACATTCGCGCCTCGGCCACGCAGGCTTAACCCTCTCAATTCCCAAGCGATTTGTATGAAATGTTGAGAAAGCATTAGAAACACTTTGTTTTTATTAAAATTAATATGCATATATACAGTGAGCAGCGAAATCTAGCACTTTAAGCACCATAAGATTTAAAAATTTCAATTAAGCAAAAAGGAAATATAATATATGTTTGTATCATATATGATAATTGATCATTTACCACAAAAGAAAAATAAATTTAAACATAAATTCATTATTAAGAGAGGGATAGTACTATAGTTGTCGGTAAGCCTGTTCTGTAAAAATCAAGAACTTGTAAGATCTTAAAGCCTTTATACTTTAAACCCTTACAGTTTTAGTTCAGTTTTCTATATGGAATTTAATGTAATATGTGTATGTGCATATATGTACCATGAATAGTACTTTTTGTGTTGCACTGGTTTCTGTTTCAGCTCTTCTTGGCTTGTCACCAGCGTCTTTGGGTCGAGTTGGCGGCCACTCATAAATATTTCAAGTTGTCAAAGCTGGCCTACACTCGTACGAGTGTGTGTTCTCTGTACTCAGTAATAGAAAATCTATAGGGTATATGTGTTCTGGGAAACAATTTAATAAAAAAGAAGGAATAAGGAAGAACCGTATTCAAAATATATATATTTTGCTTTTAATATTAATTTTATACAATTACAATAATACAAGGCTAGGAGATTTTATGCAGACCTTTTGTATAGGCTTTAGAGAAAAATTACGATAGTTGTTTCTGCTGAATAAATTCCAAAACATAAAAAAATAAACTTAGAAATAGTTATATTTAAAGATTAAAATATAATCTTTACATTTGTTAATTAATAAGTACCCTTTTAAAGTCATTGCAATGAACAATGCATTCTTAAAACACTACGACAAATGTGCCCTAAAAAGCGTGCTTTAATTTTTTCACCAAATAAAAGAAGGGTATTTTATGACACTTTAACCTTTTTTGTCCATATATATATACTTTTTTTTTTGCCGCAACTTGTTAGCGTGTGTGCTGCTCACAAATACCATTCCATCCAAGCAGACACTCAGGTGTTTCCGCTTCGCTTTCTGTGTCAGCCGGCGGCTTCCGCTCTTGGGTATAGCTTCATCTGCCTCTTTTTTATCCTCATCCCCAGCCCCGCTTTTTCTTGCCCCATTGTTGCTATAATTTTAATTAGCACTGGGAGTCTTGAGTCAGTCAGTAAATGCTGAGAAAAAGCATCCTGTCACCACTGAAACCCACTGATGAAGCATCCCATAAAAGTACATATAACCATATATACTATATATGTATATATTCCTGTTTTGGTATTATATGTGGCCGACGATGACAAACAAAGCCAGGCAATACAATACGAACAATTACGAGGCAGAACCGCATTGTCTAGGGGGCCAAATCCACAGTCAAGGCGGTGCTTTGTGGTATTAAAAGCAATATTGCGCATACGCCGCGTAGTGCATCCTTTCAAAGGAATGCCAAATGTACGTGTGTGTTTGTGTATAAGTCTGAGTATGAGGTATGCATATGTAACATATACAGAGCATAATTGCTTATTTGCCGGTTGGCTGGTCATCTAAACCGCTGCCGAATAGATATCCTAACCCCATCCGCCAAATATCGATTGTAATTTATACAAAGCCATTGACCACAACGAACCTTCCCGTCCTTGTAACCCCGGGAAAGGGGTGCTTTTTTATGGGAAGAATGGGTGGTAAGGAGGTGCCTGCAAATTAAACTTTCCACAGTAAAGTTTTTTTTCGGTCTGACGAAAAGTTTTCCCCTTGAATATTCTAATACCAAGGAGAGCAATAAAATATGAGCCTGGCATCGGGTGCTTTTTAAAGGAGTGCTCGTTATTTTAACCCAAAAAAACTTAAAGCCAACTCTGGCTTTAACATTTTTCAATAGCTTATGCTAAAGAACTTTATGAAGTCTTAAAGTTTGGCAGAAATTGAAAGCCTTTTCAAAATGTTTGGCATATTTTTGAGTTATTAGTTTTCAATTGAATTGACTTGAATTTCATGAGAATAATAATTCCGGTTATAGTCCAGGCTTATTGAAAATATAAAGCGGATAAACAGGAATTGATTTTGGTAAGGCAATTTCCAGGAATTCCTCTGGCTTTTCCGTTTCACTTTGAATTGAATTTTTCACTGTGAGCAGTCAAAGAAATCGAATCCTGGGCCCCAGGGAATTGTGTTATATTTGCACTTTTTGTGAACACTTTTGCCGTAATATTTGTGCAGCGAGTGGGAGCAGTTAAATGGCCAACAATTGGCAGCCTCTCAAAGTGCAATTGCAGCAGCAGCAGCAGCATCAACCGTAATTGCAGCGGCAAAGAAAACGATAACAACATTTCTGGGGCGATCATTATAATCGGGCAATTTGGCCCACAACGATGGTTGTGTCTATGTCTGCGTCCTTTCCAAGGACTGGACGCTCTTCGTAGCCGAAGGCAAGGCACCAGCATGTATGTATGTACATATATACTACGAATTGTTATTACAGTTCGCAAAGTCGTTTGCCTGGAGGCTACTAGGGTACTATATACAAGCATATATACTCACATACTCTATCATAAATTCGGCATTTATTGACAACATTTTGTCCTGTGACACCACGAAGCGAAAAAATATACTTTTAATTTGTTATGGTTTCTGTACTTTTTGATTTATTTATATTAGTATTTTGAAACTTTTCTGGAATTATATTAAAGAAGCTCAAGCAAATATATATTATAATTAAATTATACGGTAAAGAAAACTTTTCTAAATAAATATGAAACAATAATTCTAATCTTCAATAAATGTCAGAGACTAATGTAATATAACATTAAATAATTAACAAGAAAGAAAACTTATTTCTTGAAGCCAAAGTTAAAAAAAATTATAACTAATCCAAAAATGCATTAATTTTAGTTCGGAAAGCTTTCCTATGTTAGTCTTTATTAGGTTAATAAATCTGCATACTCAAATGCAAAATTTAAAAAAATGTAACATTTTGATAAATTTTTGACAATTTTAACGATGTAACCCCTAATAAAATTTTCAAAACTTTGAAAAAAAAAACATTTTGTCCGGACATAACTAGATCGATTAGGCTGTTAATGCTGATCAAGAAATGACTCGGAAATGACTCCATCACAATTTGTTAAGCTTCTAACTGAAATAATAATACCCTTCAGAGGAATAAAAAAAAAGGTCCTTTAATCACACCACAATTTTCTCCCTCTGCATGAGTGGGCCTGGCCAGATGGGCTCGCCTCTTTCGACCACTATTTGTGGACTAAAAAATGTATTAAATGGGAAACTCATTAACGGCTCGTGTTGTGACTGGCCGATGGCAAGGACCTTCGGATCGGTAGCTTCTGCTCCTGCTCCTAGTTTTGTATATAGTCAAAGTAGTTGTTGGCAGGCGACAGGATTACGGACTACATATTGCATGTTGTTTTGGCTCAAATAAGCCCCAACTGGCCGGCAATTTGGCAAAGCATTCGAATGGGCCTAGGTCGTGGATTGGTATCCGCCAGTCGCAGTCGCATTTAAGTGTTTTGTTATAAATTATTCGTCGCATTTTGCAAAACTGGACAACTGGAATTGCAGTTGCGGCGCAGCCAATGGCTTTTTATGCAACTTTATTGCCCTGTGACCCCATATGACGCATATATACATATGTACTCTTGCACACATGCACTTGTACATAACTTTCCGGTTCGTTGGCTCTAAATTAGGTTCACCCTAAACGAGTAGTTGGTTGTGCTGCAGGTAAGGAAAGGTGAGTCGAGCTGAGTTGAACTGCGAGGGGAAATTCAATTTGCCAGGAGACACTTTAATTATGCAAACCGAAAATGATTTGCCAGAGCAAGTGTTTGTGGTCTCATCGTAGGGAAAGTTTTTCTATTACTTTCCTGGAACAAAGGGAAAATGTGCAGCTGTTATTAGAAAAATAACTTATTGAAAAAAGGGAGTTTCAAAGGAGTTTATTTTTTAGAATAAATACTATTTTTAGATCGCTATAAATGCCTTAACTTCAAATAATTAACTTAAAACAAAAATAACTCTTTAAACGAAAACCCGACATGCCGGCAAATGTTTTTAAGCATCATTGTTCTCGCGTCTGTTTCTCAAGTTTAAAAGCTTCTCGTATGCCAAACGAACAACTTTTGTTAAGTTTTGTTTGTAACTGCTTTACCAACTTGGGGTAGGGAAAAACTTTTGTATCGGGTGGGAAGAAAACGTATTTAATCTTATTTTAAAATTAGTTTTTACACTCGTGTTAATTGAGCTCCGCTGAACAAGTTAGTTCCAAAGCCCATAAAAAGGCGAGCTAAAGCTGTCATGAGAACGGTGGGTGAGTGTCAGTATTTTTTGAAAGCTTTCTCTGGTAAATGTGCGAATCCTGCAAGTGTCGTCCTTCGTCCTTTGGCCAAAAATTAGCAACAAATACACTTATTCGAATGGGTATAAACAGCTCGAGCTGCAGGTCCTGCAATAGAGTTGCGTGACAGGATGGGCCAGACATGTCTGACATTTGGAAATGCCAGAAACAAAACGAACTGAATGGATGGCAGGGATCAACCGACGAGTAAACAAATCGCAGACAATTGACTGACTGACGTGTTGTTTGCAGTGACAAAGGATTCACAGAGAGAAAGAGAGAGGAGGGAGTGGAGTGACAGAGACGGGCAGCCGGCAATTAGAATTCAATGCAGTCAGTATAAAATACAATTAAGGGCCATTTTACAAAAGTAAACTAGCTGTACACTGAAGGAAATATACAATCTAATTATATAGAAGATTAAAAGCAATTCTCATGAAAAAATTAACGAGTTTTCAAGAGAATTTACCTTTTCTTTAAAGACTATATTTATAATTTCTTAGTCTTAAACACACTTAACTAATGATTCCCATCGTGAAAGAGTCTTAATAGCCTTGAAAATCACCTACCATTATTTCTATTATTCAATCTCTCAGACATAATTAATATACTTGCATATACACCCCATTTATTATTTATTATTATTCCCCAAAATAAACCCAATTATCGCTTGTCATGACCATATTTTCCCGTGTATCTTCCTGTCATGTCAGTTATGGTTTGAGCCGGCGGCGAGATGTGCAATTATTGATATTGATTTTGCAAGGCAGAAAGCAGGGTCTGGGAGCCCATTAAGTAAATCATTCGCCTGTCGAGGCAGTAAAGCAAATTTATTGTTTTTAATGACGTTCACCCCCCCGAGTCCTTGACTCCGAAGTGCTTTCAGTTATTGAAAGGAGCAGACAGATGGCACACACTGTTACACATAGACTCACACACACACGTTCGCTTGGCTGTCTGCAAATGCTGCATAAATAACTCGGCAGCGAGCCGAAAAATTCATTGCATACCCCGAGGCGTGGTGCATGTCGGTCGCCAATTAAACGGAGGAACGCCAACAATTCCGCTCATTTGCAACCGGCAAATTCGTATGTTCGTATGTCGTGTTGGCCCATTCAACTAGTTGGCCAAAGAAAAGCTATACTCATCCCTCAACCCATCGCATTTCCATATCCATTTCCCCAATTCACGAGTCCTTTAGCTGCGACGTTGAATTTCGCGTTTTGTGCAGCGCACTTGGAAAATTTGAGTTTAGAAATTTAACTAAATAAATCATTATAAAGAGTGTAAACTATTTCGGCGCCATTTAACAAATTGAATGGATTTTTAATGTTCCCAACTATTTATTAGTTTTTATTCTATTATAGTTTTCAGCATATTCGTAGAGATTTCTGCCCATAAAAAACTGTGAAATAAAATATGTATCACAAATTTGCAAGGCAAAGCGTATTCAATTTATAGGTCACGAGTACGGATGACAGAAAATATCTATATATACTATATGTATGTTCAATAATATACCCTAATTCCTTGCAGTGCCGATTTCTAAATATATTCACGCGGTTAGCTTGGAAAAGCGACTGTCTGCGCTCATCCAGAGCGCAAAAAAAGTGGAAGTGGAATTAGCATTTGGCATTTAACATTTAACGAATATATCCAACGCTCTTTGTGGCTGAGCTTGGTCTATTTTCTGGTTACGACTTGGCCCACACACAAGGTCGAAGGTGGGGCAATCCAATTAGGGATAAGAATCGAAAGCAACGAAATCGATGCGGCACTCGATGTTGCAGTAGTCTTTCCTCGATTGAAATTTAAATTTATTTCCCTTTCTAATTGCCATTGCAGAGACAAGCCAATGAAAATGGTAAATTGAAGATTGCGTATATATACATTGCGAAATTGAACATTTTAATCGCTGGCAAAAATCATGTCAAATGTGAGTATGAGAAGAAAACTCATTTCCTGGGGGCCTCGGACACTTAAATCAGCTTTTATTTCGCAGCTCCTCAACATGGACAAATCGAATGGCAATGGCGTCTATGCGGTCAAGCCGAACATGGACAACGATAATGCCCTAATGGGAGCATCGGGTGCCACCACAACTATGACATCAGCAGGTGCAGGTGCAAACGCAGGTGCAGTCACTGCAAACAACATAAACATAATGAACGGAGCAGCTGCTGCAGCCGCAGCTTCCGCTTCCGGCCTGCCCACTTCCGCCTCCAGCGAGGACCTCAGCCAAAGCCTGTCCGAATACACAGATGCCGACGAGAGCATATCCGCGCCCACAGAGTTTCTGGCCGAGGTAAGAGCTTAACTAGAAAGCCACTAAATGGGTCATAAAAATAGTGCGAGTTATCATCAGATTAAGGGGAGTGTAAAATATGTTTCTATCATGGTTTAGTTTATTAAAAACCCAGAGAAGAAGCTACCCATAGGATCATGTGTTCGAATGTAAAATCATAGATAAGCCTGGGATGCATTAATTTCATTTTGAAGAGCTTTTCTTTTCTTATATGCTAATTTTTTGGGTAAATCAAAGTATTTCATTTACCATAACTAAGCCAAAAATTAAATTAAATATGTAGATGTCTTTTCTGAGCTAGTTTTTATACGGTTAACAAATCAGCATACTAAGTTTATTAACTTAAGAAATTCAATTTTTGGTCAAATTTGGACAATTTTAACGATGTAACTAACACCTTATAAAATTTTCAAAATTAAAAAAAAAATTAATTTTGTCCTGATATAGCTAGGTCGATTCGCCTGTTTATGCTGAGCAAGAATATATATAACGACTAGTTCACTGCTTTACAAGCTTCAGACTGAAATGATAATACCCTTCAAGGGTATATTTAAAAAAGGTAAAGGTAAGGTAGGCTGTTAACTTTGAGTATACGTTCGTAGATATCCTCAATACAAATTACTGTATCACTTTAATTTAAAATTATTTAAGGGGGTCCATAGCATTAAGGGAAGTAGTTGGAAAATAAATGCATAGCTAATCCCTTTTATAGGATCTCTATAAATAATATAATTGTCAAGGTTATGACTTACCGCATTCATATTCATGGTATCATCGAAGTATGCTTCTTCCTGGTTATCCAGATGTACACATTTCATTGGCCAGATGATATTCACTATCACTTTCACTATCACAATAGATGTTAACACTGGGAAGGGCGCGAACCGAATGAGGTGGGAGCGGCGGCAGGGGCCTGTATTTATAGTCCCCGAGCAAAGAGGAGAGCAGAGAGAGTGAGAGCGAGAGCGCAAGAGACAAGGGGATATCTCAGAGATAGGCGGAGAGCGTTAGAGAGTAAGTGATTTCTAGAGATAAGCAGAGAGAGAGACACATACATTAAACGATCGTTCCTATGGCAGCTATATGATTTAGTCGTTCGGTCCGTCGATCCGGATTAAGATCAAGAATATATATATACTTTATACTGCGTTACAAACTTCTGACTAAAATTATAATCTCAATATAAGATTAATTAATATTAAGATAAATGTAACTTCAAAGTAAACAAAAATTAACTTTCAATTAGGGATTACTTCAAGTTGAGAAAGGCTTATGATCTTGATTATGAAATTCCTGCACCCGCTGGTCTCCACCATAAATAACCTCCATTATGTGGCACTCATTATCTAAGCGTGGCACACTTCTCGCTTTTTTTTGTTGTATTTTTCGCTGAACCCCCACAACAAGGAGAAGGGTCCTTGGCAGGAGAGCACAAAGGCGAAACAGAACTTATGCAAATGCAAATTGCTGCGCTGCCAGGGCAGATTGCGGATTTAAGTTAAAGTCCTTTCGGCAGCGGGATTACGCCACCGAGCGCACTTGGCCGGGCTTATTGATTGCTAATAAATTGCTTTCGAGCGCATTCAACTTTCAGCAGAGTCAACTTTTCTGTCCTCCTGCCGCAATGTTGGCCAGTGGACCAGAAGCGGGAGGGTATATCATGCACATACATATATATAAGCCTTTGTTGTTCAGATGTTATGAGAAAATTCAAAAGGATTTGATGGCATTTCCCTTAAACGTGTATTGTGCGAGGCTCGAGTGCTTCGTCCTAGGTACTTTACTTTATTGTGCGTTCTTTACATTTTCTCCTGCAGTTCCTGTCCGCCGTGATGCTGAAGGACTACAAAAAGGCATTGAAATACTGCAAATTGAGTGAGTATTATAAGAATCTACTTCTCAAAGTATGTCGCAATATTGGCTTTATTTATTTTATCTATATTGTTTTTGGGAGGATTATAAATGTCCTGCTTACTAAAGGATAAATTATAAATTTTGCTGATTGCCAGATCTACTCATAAAGAGTATTTTGATAGATAGTTTAAGCTTCCCTGATTCAATAAATAAATTAATTTAACTATGCTTCCATACAGTTCTCCAATACGAACCTAATAATGGCACGGCCAAAGAGTTCTATCCGCTCATCCTGGATAAGCTGCGGGCCGGTATGTAGTTAACTCTGGTTAAAGGTGACGGCAGTTAATTAATCTTATTACCCCCAGTGGCCACATCCAGCGACAGCGATGAGAATTACAATAAATCTTCATCGCCCGAACTGGCTCTGGACCTGCACGCCTCCGATGTGGAGGCAGATGTTGATGGCGATGGAGATGCGGATGTGGATGCAGATGCAGATGGTGACAGCGAGAGCAGCAACAACTGTTCCGAGGAGGATAATGGATGGGGTGACGACGAGATAGACAACGTGGATGTGATGGATGGCGAGGAGGAGAGCAGCAGCAGTGGCGATGACTTTGAGCTACCCATAGACGATGCTGGGCAGGATCCAGTGGCTCTGGCTGTCCACACTCCCCACTCACACACTCATTCCCACTCTCACAACGATTCAGGATCCTCGAGGAATTCATCCAGTGGCGGCGGAGGACGCAGCGATAACACCACACACTCATATTCCAGTTTGCTGTTGGAGGAGGAGGATGACATTGTCCCAGTTAGCCTTCATTTTGGTCTCAAGGATAATGCAGCCACAGACCTGGATGTGAGCAATGGTAAGGACGAGTTATCCTCTAATGGAATCTTGATTTTATTTTAATCCTTACATTTCAGGCAACAAAGTGCCCTCCGCCTCGTGCAGTGACTCGGAATCGCCGACAGAACCGCTGACCCAGCGCCTGGCTGCCATCCTGCGCTCCAAGTGCGGTGTATCCGGCGGCGGTGGCGGGACCGATGAGCCCTATTAAAAATATATATACACAAATAATTAATTTAACACTGTGCGGATATTATATTTGGATTGCGAAACGCTTGCTGAATGAAGAGGATCAATGACATTTTCCGGTATAGAATAATAGTTTGATTTTCTACCTGGCCGCACAGTGTTGTCTCTACATCTACATCTATATATTCTTGTATAACTCTATAATGACCGTAAACTCCACCAGCCCTTGCCCGACTAGTCTCTCCACTAGTGCGATCGCTTTACGAACCTAGAAACCGTCCCTGACAGCATACTCTCGTATCTCGTAACTTGTAACTTGTAATTCGTACTCTGTATCTTGTATCTTGTATCTTGTATCTCCGATAGCTAAGTTTTTGATCGAACGCGAGTCTCCCTAGGACAAACATATCGTACAAACTCAATAAGTACTTATATATATATACATCAATACCTATTTATACCACATACATATATACTGTACATGTTTATCCTAGATATATAGCCGCAGAGCCCAATAAAGATATACTCGATACCGTAAGACGCATATAGCGGAAATCGCGAAACAGAATCAATATATAGATTTACATAGATTTACACGTATATATTTTTTAGCAAGAGACACCCATTCAGAACGCACAGGACTCGGAATGATGCTTTACATATTTGCATTTGATAGAGATCGATTTTTCCCCACAAAAAGAGAACTAGAGATGATTGAGAGAGAGTTACGATATGGATAAGTCTGACAACAGGTGGAACGAACTAATGAGTGTAGAACTACAACTGAAATGGTCCAAGTCACAAAACTACGTAGATGAGTGTAAATAGATATATTTTGTATCCGATTAAGCCCAGTACTCTCGGTTCGGTTTAGGTTCTATAAGTTAACGAGGATATAACTCTAAAAACTCCCCCTTAATACTTATTATTCAGCAAATATATTTGTATCTGATAAGTTTTTCCAACTATATTGTTGAATTACATTATAATCCGAATGGTCTGTATGTTTACGAAAGACAAAAAATTGTAATAATAAAATGTGGCAAGAAAGCTGGAAAAGAATTTGCATTTATTATTGAAGTAAGTAAGAGAATAAATATTAATAAAATATTTATATATCACATATTATATGAAAAACACACATTCGATTTGTTAATCAAACATTTGCTTATTTATTTTAAATCCATTATTATCAAAGATTCTCATTATTATTCGTAAATTTTTGTTATTAACATGACTTGCAATCATTTCGTATATATGTATGTATGTATGTTGTTTTTGTCACTTATGGGGTTTTTATAAAACTTTTCTGGATGATATTCAAAAATGGGATGTTTTAAAAACATTTGCATGATCAAACTCCATTCCGTTTCATTGTTTTTTTATGTTATATGAAATGCATAAAAAATATACAAAAATTGCAGTTGTCTTGTATAATATTATAAAAAGTTCTCTGCTTTTTTCACTTCCTTTCTATCCAATGTATCATTTTGATATGTGTAACAAACTACTTTGATTAAATATATATATTTAATATATTCCTCGCTCTTCGAATACTGTTTTGTTTTTCGTTTAAATTCTCTTCCTATTATCTTTATATATTTGTTGTTGGAGTTTTAATGATCTGTTCCAGCACCAAGTTGAAATAATATAAATTAAATTACAGCATAACAAAATTTGTTCTATTAGTAAGATTAATATGTTTCGTTTGTAAACTATTTCCTCTTGTAAGTTGCTCAAAAAAATCAGGTAATGAAGCTTTGTTTGTTTTTGTTTTGTGTTGTGTATATATATTCCGTTTTAGTTGATATCTTAATTGTGAATTGAGAAGTATATTTTAGATGCGGCGCAAAACAAGTTTTAAATCAACTCGAAATAATCTCTTACAGTTCTTATATATCCGTTATCTCAGCATAACAATATTTAACATACTTACTCGTGGTATTTCTTAAGAGCTGAATATTCAATAAGACAAAGATTTAAGATGTGTGCTGCGTATGAACAATTACCTTATAATAACAAAATGTATAACGCCATACGTTTTCGTGCAACTTTGGCAGTTCAAATGTAAAGGCGTTATGCATCATGATATAATATGGTCTTTTTTATAAACCTGCTAAGACTGCGCGTGTGTTTCATGTGCCTATGTGAGAGTGTTGTGTGTTTATAAAGAGTATATATTGTTTATAACTACGCCCTTACGTTCGATTCTCTTTAAAAAGAAACTTTCATTTGAAAACTTCAGGTGTTTGCTTGTACTGTCCAGTAGAATTAGAATACAATTACAATAATTACACATATGTTAGACCTAAGTGATGACCTAAGTGGGTCGTTGGCACTACGTTGGGAAATTAAAGAAATGAATACAAAACATAAAATCAATGTAAATGTATTTTATTAAAAATACAACATTAAAACACAGAAATTAATACGTAACGTCTACTACAAATTAAAAGTAAAAGATACAATTTAAAAGGTTAAGAAATTATAATGAAGCTCTAGAGAAATTATATAAAAATTATTTTTAAACTTATGGCTACCTGGTGGCGACGTAAGGGAATTAAAGGCTATAGTTAAAAAGGCTAGACAATAATCATCAAACAAGTTGTACGTTATATGCTTCGTTTCTTTTTAGAACTATGTATGGTTATCAGTCAATGAAGTCAATGTGAGATGAACTATCAACACATCTCTATGCACATAGCGCCATTCTCCAAATCTCTTTCTTTTGTTTTGCTCAGTATATTCTCACATCTAACGGATGCAAAATCGTGGCTGTTTGTCGACCTATTGCGATGAACAAAAACTTTATCCTAAAGACTTTATCTGATATTGGCTTGGCTGATGACAATCTGCGCTTAATTATCAAACTATCGATAGACTGCTGAGCGAGAAGGGCTTCCCATTGATGGGCTGGGGAACCACAGACATCGCTAGAGATTGCCTGTGGCTTAGTACCGCTTCTATAAGCAATTCGTGGACTCCTTGGCATCATCAATGTTGGTTATGTTCTTGATCAGCAGCTGGGCCGACGGGTACTTGTTGAGCTGCGCAAAGCGCTCCATTACGCACGACGAGCTAAGACGAGCCTCGGCGTCGTGGTCCCAGCACTCCTCCATGGTGTCGCAAAACACATTGAGACCCTATAAAAAATAAATAAATATCAACATTACTTTAGAAATAGATTGTTTTAACTTACCTGATGGGCTCGCCAGGCGGTAAGCAGGCGCGGGCGCAGCTTTTTCATCACCACGCTCTCTTGGACTTCGTCCAGCGTGGGTCGCTGGCCCAGTTCCGCCTCGAAGGGCAGCTGAAACTCGCCCACAGGCCCAGCGATGTCACACCGCGAGACCATCTCCCAGAGCACCAAGCCGCAGGCGTAGACATCTATGCGTAAGAACGCATCTCGATTGAAATTAATGGCACCTTCGAGCACCTCCGGAGCCATGTAGCGACGAGTGCCCACCTGGCCGTGGGTGTCGCCACACGACTTGCCCGGTTGGAAGATCATGGCCAGTCCAAAGTCCGCTATGCAGGCCGTAAGATCACCCTTGAGAAGCACATTCTTTGACTTGAAGTCCCGGTGAGCTATCGACGGCTTGAGACCTTCTGTTTTTGAGCCCGGAATCTCTTCGTGTAAATGGGCGAGACCATTGGCCATGGACTCGGCAATGCGGCACAGCTCCGGCCAAGTGATGGTATGCGACTTGAGGTAGTCGCACAACGATCCATTGTGCTGATATGTGGATATCAGCCAGTACTCCGGCTTATCCATGTGCTTCTCCACGCCCAGGAACTCGAGGATGTTGGGGTGTCGCATACGCGGAAGCTTATAGATGTCATTCTCCGCCGTCCACGACTCCTTTTCCTGCATGCGAAAGATCTTGACGGCCACATCCTGGCCATGCAGCTTAGCCTGCCACACATCACCGAACCGACCGCTGGCCTTTTGCTCCAGCAGCTGAATGGGTCGATTGCACAGTAGTGGAGATGCATTGGTGATCTCCGCTTCGTGCTAGAAATGGAGAGTTATTAAGATTAGTAAAATAATGATTACAGCAGGAGATTTACTTACCGTTGGTATCTCGTTAAAATGTGCCTGCTTGCGCCGTCGGTAGAGGAAGAGTCCCATGCCCACAATCACCATGAGCACGCTGAAGATGGAGGTGCCAATGTAAATGTACATCAAATTGCTGTCATCTTGCGTCTTCTCTTTGGGCACTGCAAGGACACACACGGTAGCGAAAATATGGGAACATTAAAGAGGGCTTTAATCGCTGACTTGCCACAGGTGAACAACATCTCGAGTGGCAGCAGGCACTGCGATGCTAGGGTGGCCATATGAAAGGCAAAACGAAAACCAAAAAACGAAAGTTCGCCCCCAATTTCGCATCTCTTTTTCCCCTCATTTTGTTTCGAGATAAAAGCAAGCTAGGACCCAAGAACAAAACAACAAAGCGCAGGGCACAAAAGACGCTCCTGACAGGCAGCAGCAAAGGGTTCGGAAGCACCCGAAGTCAAAGGCAAAGGCAGCAACACCCCAAAAATAAAAACAAAGGTACGAAAGTCAATAGACTAGTGAATACCTAGTCTTGTGATTTAATTCGAGTGCTAACCACATGCCACATACCTTCTATTTATTAACTACTTTTTACAAGAGAACCCTGTTTTACAGATTACACACTGAAGTTTTTGTAAATATAATACAAAACTAAATCTTCAACAACACCTCCTCACAAGAGTTTTCAATGAATATTTACAAATTAGAACATAATACCCACAACTCTTTTTACGTATTGGATATGAAATAAATTCTATATAAAAGCATTCTATATAAACGTTTGTAAGAGAAATATTAAGTAAACTAAAAAGGAAATCTGTTCCTCCTGCAACTATTCGAACATATCCAATATACCCCTGAACTCAATGCTCGTACCTAACTATAAAAATAAAAACGAACCAGCGAACGTGCACAGGAGGGCAGAAATTGCAACACATGCTGCTCCAAAAGGGGTTGCTGGGCCTGTAGATGCAAAATAAAAAAAGGAATATACAAAAAAATGAGGGAATGGGCGCCACTTCGCGTCGAGAGTTCGTTAACACGAAAAACGCTGCCTCGGATGGGCAGAAGAGGGGACTTCATGGGAAAAAGTAAAGGCCTCCCCCTCGTGCAACTTGAAGATGTAATAAAAAAAAGCGAGTAACAAAAACAAACAAAACAAAAAATAAATAAATATGCAAACGGAAAAAATAACAAAATTGGGGTAAACACGGGCCAAGACAAATCCGCACAGTAATGCTATGTTAGAAGGAAACCGAAACCGAATACGAATCCACAACCAGAACTCACCTTGCGTGGTTGCCTCTGTTGTGGTTTTAATATATTTGTGGTCGGAATTGCAGCGCGATCCCTTGCAGCAGCAGAAGAAGATGTTCTCCTGTCGCGGTTCCCCGGTCACGCACTCCGTCTGATTGCACTCGTGCATATATGTGAAGCAGCCCTTCATCTTGATTCGCATGGCGCCTAAAGGGGGAAACGAGAATGCAATCAGTGTTCCAGCAAAAATGTCCATCTGCCACTAGGCTCCTTACCCGTCGTCTCGTTGGTGCTCCACAGCACATAGCAGCTGGGAAACTTGTCCTGCTCCACCTGGCAGTGTTCGATCCGCGTTTCACAGTCCTGCGATGTGTTACACATCTTTTCGTCAAAGTGTTCGCAGACTATGTTGTGGTGTCCCTCCGGCAGAATGGATCCTTGGATCCCAATTAGACAGCAGGCTAAAAATATACCAAATTATTAGTATTATCTTCTTTATATATTATATTTAAATTTAAAATGATTTGGTAACGCCTTGTCATAAGCCCGATTAAATGATCAAAGTTAATGGAATTATCGGTTAGAGGCGCTCAAAGGAAGGGGCTAAAATAAAGCCAAGTATATTTGGGGAATGAGGTCCCTCCGCTCTTTCTGAGGGCAGTAAGAGGAGGACTCTTTGTGGGCGCTATCCTTTGTACACATATCGCATGCCCACAAGGAGGGGAGAGTCGGATCCTAAGCCGGGGACCCTGCTCTGCCATTGAAAGCCACCCCATTCGGGCACGGAATTAGCCCCACTGGCCACACACCAGCCTTTGAGTGGGCATGGCCCCAATGCACGGATATGCACTGCCTGCACAATGGGACCAATTTTGTGCCAACGAGTTCATCTGGGTCAAGCCACATATTATATGCCATACATAATCAGAAACTCTAATTCGGTGACAGTCAAAACGCAGAGTTTAGTAATTGAAAGGCTTATAACATTAATTAGCATTAACGAAAATCTAGAGCCTACAAACCTTAATTAAATGTATGTTAAATCAATTCTTTTATATGCTATTTTTTAGGGTAAATCATAATATTTAAAATATTATAACTCATCAAAAATGCATTGATTTTAGTCAAAAATGGATTGATTTTAGTTTGGATAGCTTTTCTGCGTACTAAGTTAAAACATTTTAAAAATTCAAATTTGTTGATAAATTTTGAGAATTTTAACGATGTAACCCCTTATAAAATTTTCAAAATTTTGAGAAAAATACATTTTGTCCGGATATATCTAGAAGGCTTCACCCGATCATGCTGATCATGAATATATATGGTTTATAGGGTCGGAAATGACTCCTTCCTTTATAATACCCAGCAAATGCACAAACAGCAAAACCTAAAAAACTTTTATCTTGTTCATCATTTAACAAATTTTCATAATTCGACTTTAACATTTACTGTTTTGCTCCACTGTCCTTTGGGGGTAATCGGATCGCTGGTTCTGGTTGTGAGTGAATGTGTATGCGTGTTTGTGTTGGGGTTCGTAAGCGTGCATGCTTTATAGTAAAGTAGATACATAAGCAGGCACATTATGCACACAGAAAGGGATGGGTTTAAAGTGGCGCTTGTGGGGAAAAAAGGAAACAGCAGCAGGAACCGAAACAACAACAACAGCAACAGGGAAGAGAGCGCATTGCGCCATAGTAAGAGAGAGAGAGAGAGAGGGAGAGCGAGAGAGGGAGAAGGTGGCCAAAAGTGAGAGAGAGAGTGGGGGCCTGAAAGGAAGAGAGAAACCAGAATCCGCCATCCAACAACAAGTTTCTAATGCAGCTCCATCCATTCAAAGAAATGCTCAGCGTACAAACACCAACACACATACATAGATATACATTGGGCTAACAGGATATCCGATCAAATAAATACCCTGTAAGGGAGTTGTTTGGGGAATTAACAGGCAACGAAAAGGCGGTTCTATTTCATTTCATACTAAAGCTTTTATAGTGCCTTGTTGATTTTAGTCGAGTTTAATTCCCCTGCTATTCTAAGAACAAGCATATACATTTATCTAGTGTTTTAAGGCCCGGAAGGTAACATACCCAACGTCAAACGCAATATACCCTACTTTTATCTATTCTTAGAGCCATGTGATATTAATAAAGTAATAGTGGACATGCTTATGAAATCACGCACGGGTCGAAAATGTTTGTATAGAGCACCGAAATCAGATAGTATTACAGAAATCCGATGGGAATATACATTCATAATATATAATGTTATTGACAACAGTGACGCCCCGGCAGTTAGGCGCCAATAAGGGTCACTCACACACACGCGCTATACATACCCAGCAGTAGCTGCGCCGTTAGATAAAGCAGCAGATCGTTTTTGTTGGACATTGTTATGCGTTATCGCCACCCGCTAAACTTGTTTACAACACTGCGTATTACGTATACGCTTTGATTGCTCAGATATAATTGCGGAGTAGTGAAGTATATCACTATCTTTCATGTATTTTCTTCTTTTTGGCACACAGTTCTGGTTGGGATTTGTTGTGTTCACACTTCCCTTCTCCCTCTTGCACAACGATGCACTGCACTCTCTTTTCGTGTATACTATGTGTGTGGGTGCGAGTGTGTGGGTACGCAGCGGATTTGCTGGCCACACGCTGCTTGCATGCACATTTTTCACCGATTTTCGAAGGGTTTCCCGCGCGATTTAATCGCTTTTTACCGGGGCACAATGGAAAAGCACCTTGCACTGCACTTTCCTTGCTTTTACAGGTCGGCAGACCTGCTTTTCGCGAATTCTTTAAGCGAGCACGTCTTTCGGTTTTTGTAGCTGCGATAGTGATGGTTGCAGCTCGATAACAAACCAGGGCTACGTTAACAAATATTTAGTATATTTGTTCTGTCGACTGACATCGATATTTCACGTGAGTTCCATAACGATATTATCACTCAATATCTAATGAAATACTAATAGGTAGATAACTAATTTTGCGAAACCGAAGCTTGTGTACCCTTACAGTTTTCAATTAAAATATTAAGAATCGATGCATTTTGTTCAAAAGAATATAAAAACTAACAGGAGATCTAAAACAAATTGATACAATTGATATACTAAAAAGATTCTGAACACAAAAATTTTTTTTAACAAGGTATAAAATTAATGGATTATCAAATTAAATTAAATTAAAATTAAGAAATGCTCAACATTTTCATTACGCGTACCTATGTACTATGTACTTTTCAAGTACATTTTTACATTCACCGTTTTTTATTTTTCTCTACATGTACATATGGCAGCTATATATAGTTATATGATTTGCATTAAATAAACACCGAAGTTATAAAATAACGAATAATTACCATATCCCAGAGTACATTAAAGTGCGAATGTTGAAAATTAGTGAATTAATTATTATTTATTATAATAATTAATATTATTATATTATATATAATAATTAACATTATTTTTGTTAATCTAAAAAATTTCCGATCGTTCAGAAAGCCGGACAGACGGACATAAATAGATCGATTCGGCTGTTGATACTGATCAAGAATATATATAATTTAAAGGATAAAAAATGACTCCATCGCTGCGTGGCAAATTTCTGTCTTAAATGGTAATGCACAACAGAGGCATAAGTCTCGTATTTTCTAATACAAATTTTTTGTAATGTTATTTAAAAACTTGTTTGATATTAATATACTTTATTATTGTTCATTTAATTTTATGTTAATTTAGTAACAAAGTTTATTAAAATCCACAAAATATCTTAATAACAAAGTAAATAATTTGTTGGCCGAACGCCTCTCCATCGATAGTATTGAGATTTTACAGTTTGCAAAGTACGGTCTCACAAACAAACATCAATTGAAATTTCTAGAGGTAAGTTATTGTTGCTGCAAAAAAACAACTAAATAATAAAATATAAACTAAAAATATCAGGATATAATATTGAGATATATCTTAACTTCCTCATTTATAAGCTCAACACACATTATAGAGATTAAAAGAGAGTTTCCAGTGGCCAAACTCTTTCTTTCGTTCCGCAAACATGGCGTCGCCTTACAGTTAATTGCGTTTCTTTTTTTCCACAGGTAATCTTCGTCAACTGCTAATTTTCGTGACTATAAAATATGACTGGACGCGGCAAGGGAGGCAAAGGATTGGGAAAGGGTGGTGCCAAGCGTCATCGAAAGGTGCTTCGTGATAACATCCAGGGTATCACCAAGCCCGCCATTCGCCGCTTGGCCCGTCGTGGCGGTGTAAAGCGTATCTCCGGCTTGATTTATGAGGAGACTCGTGGTGTGCTCAAGGTAAGTAACGGCAAATACAAAAGCAGCAAGACTTGGCAGATTACATAGCCAATGCTCCGCAGGTCTTCCTTGAGAACGTTATCCGCGATGCTGTCACCTACACGGAGCACGCCAAGCGCAAGACCGTAACCGCTATGGATGTGGTCTATGCTCTCAAGCGCCAGGGACGCACCCTTTACGGCTTCGGCGGCTAAGGTGTTGTTGCCCATTTTACTTACTCCGACATAAAATATATACTTGATCGATTTAAAATTTAACCACTAATCAGTAACTAAAAACTTAATCAGACACAGCATATTATGTATTCCACAAAGATAATCCCATAAAAAATAAATACAAAAAAAAAATAGGCTCCCTTAGAGCACAAAAATGATGTCGATTTTTAATGGCAGGCAATTGGAAAACATGTAATTTTTATAATTTTTATCGCCATATAGGCATTTTGTAGCATTTTTAAATAGTTTTACTGCTAATGCATTTTACGACTGTCTTTATAAACTCGCTTAATTCATCCATAAAGTTTAATGATAAAAATACCTATTATTCAGATCATACGCAGGTTTTTAGTAAGACGAAACAAACGTTATATTTGCAACTAATTCTGATGGAATCAAAAAATGTTCATTATAGTATACATATCTTGCTGATATTAAATATGTCTTCTAAATTCTTCCACAAAATTTATACAACTCATTTCCACAAAATAAAGTCAAAGTAAAAAAAAACCTCACGTAGGGCACACAAATATAGTAAATCTTTAATATCAGGCAATCGGGAATTGCGAAAATTTATGTTTTTGTACATTTTTATTTGACACAGCTTGGCAGAAGGCGGAACGGTGACGTGCAAATTGGATGTCCTTGGGGGTACAACAACTGCAAATTTAGCCCTCCCTGCCCTGCCCCTATCCCCGTAGAATTGAGTTGTATAAGTATTGCCGTCGCCCGCTGCTGCTGCTGTGTTGTGATGCTGTGTGTGAGTTTTCCTACGAGCACTGCTCCCGTTTCGGTTGCTGCATCGACAGAAAGGCGGATCGCGGTGATAATTTTTGATTTCCGCCACCTGCATCGCCGTCGCCACCACTATCCGCCGGTGGCATGGATACACCGCCATCGGTATGCTTACGTCGCGTAAAAACCTGCATTGGGGTGAACTTCCCGGAACCGGATTCAGACCCGGCGCGTAACGTTGCGTCCGTAGTTTCCGTATCGGAGTTGTCTGAATTTTCCACCGTAGCATCGGTGGAGCAGAGCTCTTCGTAGTTGGACATATAGCTCTCCATAAGCATATCGTTAACCTGTACTTGCAGCAACGACTCCTCTGTCTTGACTTTGTGCCTTTTTTTCGCCATCTTAACGTTGGCGTTGGTCCTGCGCTCCAAACTGTTGACGAACTGGGCCACATGACCATCACCACCGCCGTAGCCCTTGCCAGTGCCACGCTTCTGAATGAGGGCTTCCGCAAGTCCCGAAGGCTTTGGAATGGTCCGCCCGCAGTTATCGCCCATATAACCGTTCTCGTATCCCCGCTTCACCATGTTCTGCTCCCTCTCGTAGGCATAGTCAAAGTCAGCATCCCCGGCGCCGTCATAACGCTTCTCAGGACTCACCATGGCACTGTCACCGATGTCCGTCTCAAACTGTACGGCAGGATTTAGCTTAAACTGGAGAAAGGCAAGGGGATTAAATAGTTAGTAAGTTTGAAATCACTTGAAATAATAATACATTTTAATTCTGATATATGACTAAATTGCTTAATTACACTTACATCTCTCTCATTTGCAAACTCATGATCCGACTTGGACTCGTGGTTCTTGGCCTTACTATCCTTCGTGTTGGTCTCTACATACTTTGTCTCGCTGCGTACCTTGCGCACCTGGAGCTGCTTGCGAAGCATCGTCTGCTGTTGGTATTGCTGGTCCTCGAACGCTGACTCCTCCGTCTCCGATGCACACGCTTCTGGCGGCTCCATATCCTCCACCTCGTGCAGCGTTCTCAACGGTTGATCCAAGGACGGATGCTGCATCTGTATATGAGTTGGTGATTGTTGCTTGAGCTGCTGATCCAAGGACGGATGCTGCATCTGCATATGATTTGGAGATTGCTGCTTGAGCTGATGATGCATTTGCTGTTGCTGCTGCTGCTGCTGCTGCTGATCCTTGCGCAGCGTGCCCATATCGCTGCGGGGCGAAACCTCCGGACTGGTGACAGCACTGTTAACCAGCCGGCTGAAGTGCATCTGTCGGTAGCTCTGGGAACTGGAAAGAGAGAAAACAAAGGTATTAGATTTAGATAATCAAGACGGTAATTAACTTACTCCTTGTTCACCTCTGGTGATATCTCAATGGGTACATATTCGTTGGCCATATGCGGATGACCGCCCAACTCCATACCTTTCTCGTGAACCACGTTATGCGAATTGGTGTTCATTAGGTGGTAGCTAAGCTTCTGGTTAAGCTTCTCGGCCTTTTTGCGTAGCGTCCGTTCGAAGGAAAGCTGCTCCTCAAGTGTCTTGATGTGGCCCAGCAGCTGGGATACGGTTACCTTCTTGTTCTTGGGCAAACTCTGCAGACCATTGACACAGCTAAGGTCGTACTCCGGCTCCACTTTCTCCTCGGCCGGTTCACCGAGTTGGTCACGAATGCTGCGGAGCAAGAACTTGCTGATGCCCTCGTTGTTGCGAACATTGAACTCGGCGATGGCCGTGTTGAGTGCAAGGCAGTCCAGGATCAAATTGGCACCCACATCCGTGAGGCCACAGCCCTCCATGTCGATTTCTGTAGGATTAGGTGACATTTAGAGGCAGGAATCAAAGATTAGCGCTAATTAACTCGTATTAACTCTTTATCCAGGCATCCTCCTTAAGGACTTCGGCTATCATCTTGACACCATCATCGCCCAGCTCCGGATTATTGGCCAGCAAGATGGTGCGCAACCCGCCAATGGTGTTCACGTCCACACTGCGATACCGCAGCGATTTCTCCCAGCCCTCGCTGAAGCGAGTGATCTTTTGCATCTGTGGAGGTGATTGAAAAATATTAAAAGAACTCTAGAAAAAGAGGAATATCCCACCCTTATCATATCAGCAACATGCTCAGCTCCCTTGGAGGTCAGGCCACACTCGGAAAGGTCAAATGTCTCGATGCGATTCAAGTACTTGGCCGTGTTGCAGACCACCTCGCAGCCTCGGTCACCGATGTTGGACTTGGAAAAGCTTACCGTCTCAAGGCATTCATTGTCGGCCAGTGACTGTAAACGGACAGAGGAGGATTTCAAAAAGATGTAAGCATTGGAATATATACCCTTCTGTTTTTACCTTTGCAATGGTTTCTATATAGCCATCCTGTAACGGCAGTCCCTCCAGCTTCAACACACTCAAATTTTTGTTGCTCGAAACACAATTGGCAATCGCTTGGACCAAGCTCCCAAAGATGAAACGCGTGAAGATCACGGGTCTCTGGCGAAAGAGTCTGGCACGCTTCTCTGTGTCAACGGGGTCGATGTTGGCTGGATGAAAAATTATAAGAAATTTATATATATGCAAAAGGAAGAAGCTATATTCCACAGAATACTCACATTGCGGATAGCTGCGACGCAGGCGCACCACCAGCTGCTGGAGCACCAGGTCATGGTGCAATGCCTCGGTGAGAAGCAGCCAATCGCTCACCGCCAGCTTGTCGCCACACAGTTCCAGGTAGGTGGTGGTCGCATTCGACTTACTGCGGATCTCCGGGACCGGTGCCAAGTTCTTGGCCCGGCAAAGCTCCATGTAACGGAAGTGAAACGACCGGCTCTTGCTCGATTTCTTCACCACTGGCGGCAGGGTCACCAGGACGGACTTTCTTGCTAGTTCGTTGGTGTTGCCTTTCGGCTGCGCCATTCGAGCCACTGACATTTTCTTATAGATCTGTCGATCTTGTGGATCTGTGGTAAGTAGATATAGTGATAATTATAAAAATATTGAAAAAAATATTCTTACCAAAAAGTAGGTTAAGTTAGTATTCTAATAAAAGTTTTTTATAATTGACTTAAAAATCAAGGTAATAATGAATAGGTTCGTTCTCAGTTTTCAAAAATTTAACTAAAAGCCAACATAAAACAACTTAATTGAAAATGATCCAATGAAAAGTTTTAATACACGTACATACACATATATTATTTAATTTAGGAATTTAAATCGTATTTGAGTAGTCAAATTTTGGGACATAATGTAATGCCTAAGATCACGAATTATTAACACTATAGTTAATAATTCATTCAAGTTCTATATGTTTGGAACACTTTCTAGGTACATGTTTTTTTTACATTTGTATGGAATTCAGACTTTTCAAGGCTTGCTTATTTAAGTTTTATAAAACACATCCAGAACAACAAAAACTGTACCAATTAATTCATATTAAATTAATCTCTTAGCCCAAGCAGAGTTGTAACTCTTTTGTTTTAACAACCCTGTTTTTAACCTTCAAAGAATTGCATAAGCACTTCCGGTTTCCAATGGCCAGTGGAGGCTTTTCTAGTATCCCGGGCCGGCGCTCGATCCGCAACGAGCTTGCAAATGGTAAACAAACAAAGAAAAGCTCTCGGCGCATACGAGTCACTCATTTATTTATTGTTTATTTGCCGGTGGAATTTACGCTTGGCCAATTACTCGCGTGCCACCACTCAGTCTATCTCTTTCGCACCCGGTGTGTGCAGGGTTGCCATGGCTCTCAACGATTTCCATGCAGAGCGCGCGCGCAGAAGTCTCGTTAGCTGGCTTTTTGGCCTGCAACTTCAGTCTTTTAGCGGCTGTCGAGGAAAACACTTTGGTTTTCGGGCTTGTGACTTGTCGGTTTTCAGTTTCGAAAGTGCAAAAAAATATAAATATTTCTCTTTCGTGAAATTCATTCACGAATTTAGGTAGAACTTAAAAAACACTGCGTGTCTTCGGGCACGTTCCATCATTAAAGTGATCTCTGCGTATTTAGTATCATTCTATGTTTGTTACCATGCTTTTTTAAGCATTTTTTTTAGAAGTCGAGTTCCGGTTCGTGCATTGCCCAATTTGGAAGCGTGCGACACGTTTATTTAATGCGGTTCCATTTCCATTTTCATTCGGTATTCTATATTGCGTACTCCATATGTGTGTGCCCGCGCCGGGGTTCTTGACTCATGCCTAATTACCAGTGACGTCGAAGTCTATGTCGAAGCAGAAGCCTTTCGAAAATGTGTCAAGCCACGAAATTTCCCGGTAGTTTCCAGTTTCTCTCTTAGTTGAGAAACACTCAAGTGTGACACCAGAACTAGTTGGCTTCCCCTAATTACTTGGCACAGCCTAAAGTGAGTGACGAAGGATAAAAAACGGACAAGAAGATACCCCATCAAAAAAAGGATACTTATTCGCCAGGAATAGGGGGTAGGTCCCGAACCAGTTTGCATTACTATTTCGGCTTGTGGCAGGCTTTTAGCGGGGGAAGATACTTGGGAGGTTTCCTTGTTACGAGGGTCCTTAAAAGTGACTTCAAAGGAATTTACAATAATTATATGTTTTAGCCACTTTAAAACCCGTCAAAAAAAACTATAGCTGAGCTGAAGATCAAATAAAGCTATGAAATACTTTTAAAGATAATGGCTAACAAGAACATTATTATAACCTGACAGGGTATAGTAATTTTGGTCAGCAGCTTGTAAAGCTGTGAAGGAGTCATTTCCTACCCTATAAGTCATATATATTCGTGATCAGTATCAAAAACCGAATCGAACTAGCTATGTCAGAAAGAAATAATGTCTTAAATTTTTAAAAATTTTTAAAACGGGTTACATCGTTAAAATTTTCAAAAAAAATTGGCACAAGTTTAATTTCCTAAAATTTTTAACAGAGTATGCACATTTATTAACATAATACAAACTAACATAGGAATGCTTTCCGATTTAAAATGAATGCATTTTTGTTTTAGTTATGATTGAATTTCCATTCCATCTTATAGTTAAAATAAAGTATTTATTGAATATACAATTCCAAATTTTCTGTTATCCCTAATGACCTTAATTTGTTACTGCACATACTCATTTTGTAATGGGCTTATAATTTTAATACCCATTTTATTTTAATTTTTTTGCAATAACTCAGCGGGTTTATTTGCACCTACTTGAACTAGGTATTTAGTTCTGTTCATGGAAGCCTGAAGTTCAGTCTCACATGAATTTCTTCGCAATACCGCGACTAAGGTCAGAGTTTTAGCTCAAGGATTTGCTTTGCTGCTGCCAGCTTATCCAAGAAAAATGAATTGTTTAATTGCCCGAAATGTAGAAATACTTGCAAGGCAGATTCAAAATAGAAAAATGCGAAAATACTGACACGAAAATCGAGACAGAAAAGGAGCCGGAGTGTAACGGACAAATTGCCAACGACACCAAGCTAGGCTAGACCAGCAGAAGCTCCATTTGAGCCAAGATCCAGAGCTGGCAAAGTGAGACGGATGCGGGCGTCGCTTGAACCCGGGTCCACGTCCACGGGTTGTGAGTTGTGAGTCAAAAACCCAGCTACCGCAACGGAGCCAGGTCCCAGCTCTACTAGGGCACAGAGAAAAATTTTAACAAGAAACTCAAGTCGATTTGGTATTATTTTTAATCTGAAATAATATAATGATCATGATAAAAGATTTTTATAAAGTATATAAATTAGGGATATCGCCATTGATTGATAGCAAACTAATCTGTCGTGGGAGCGAATTAAGTTTTTAAAATGTTAAATCCTTTTTATGAACCTTTATGGGATTTAAAATATATACAAATTTGCAGTAAACATATAATGTTTTATATAATAATTTGTTTTCCTATATGTTTGCTTTTCTTATCAACGTTATTGCCACACAAATTCTATTAAGATTGAGGTTACTTTAACTCAAATCAAATTCAAGAAAATATATTTTAACTAAATTAAAATGCAATATTTTGCTTGTACCTTTCTCCTTAATATATTAATAATTAATAATAATTTTGTTGCCTATATAGTCATAATATTTACTAATTTTTTCCCATGTGTAAAACTCTTTTGTCTGCCTGGCAGCCAGCAAACAATTGTTGGCTGCTGGCGTTGAACTTGACTGTTGACTGTCGACTACATACATATGTATATCGGAATCGATGGGCATGACAAAAGGGCCCTAATACGGGGGAGGAAGTGTTCAAATTGGAGTATATACTCCAAAGGCTAGGGGCCCCGCGGCATAGCTTGGGGTTCAGGCCAAAAAGTCGATTGTTAACTCACGGGGCCGGAAACTGGAGGCAACATTGGTCACAACACGATCCGCAGCAATCTCAATCTGCATCGCAATCGTTTCTCATTGCACTTGAAAAAAATAGGGTTTAAGTTTTAAAGAAATTCTCACAGATTCATAAAAATAGTTTTAAGAAAAAAAGAAAGAAAGTTAAATGAGAGATTAAGATACATTTACAATATTTTTTGTTTAACAAACTTAAAATCATTTGCTATAAAAGCGAGGTCTAAGCTTATTTTACAAGCTTAATATTTGTTTCTATATTTTTCCTTGAGTGTACATATGAGTCTGCCACTCTCAGCCGGGCTTAACATATTTAATATAATTAAGTGAACCCCAAGCCTGGCTTGGAAAGTCATGAACCGCCGATTATGGTGGCTGGTGACGTGTAGACGGGGTGGTAGTCGAGGAGAAAAGAGTGTCCGGGAAACGTTGTCACAGTGGCAAACAAATCAAAATCCAAATTGTTTATTGGGATTTTCATTTCTGTGCAGCGATTACCTTGGAGCCGCCTGTTTGTTTCTGCGGTTACCCACAAGGCGGTGGCCATGAGATGCCCCCCGCCACAGACGGTGGTGCATAGTGGACGACACTTTACGGTCAGGATTTCACTTTTGGCCAGGTCAGAACCTGCCAAGCGTGAACCTGAACCTGCAACCGGAGAGGTGGTCGGGAGTCATTAGCACTGAATTCGCTCGGTATCCGAGTCGGATTCAGAAACATGTGTATCTCCAGGTCGGAGATACATATGCGTGGTAAATGTATCTGTATCTGAGCTGCGGAAAGGCGCCGCCGCCGCCGCCGCAGCCGTCATGGTGACTGGGCCAAGTGTTTTATTTGACTTTTCGGCGAGTCTTAAGCCGCTTCTGCCACTTTCCACTTACGTAAAAATCCAGGGGAAATGGCAGATTGCAGATCGCAGACTTTGACTTTGTCGATCTCCCAGAGAAGGCGTAACTTATTAATTTGCTTTAATTCAGTGGGTTTTCGTTGTGTGGAAAATTGGCAGGCGCAGTGTGGGTGGAGCTGCGCGTATCTCCCCACTAATGGAGTTAATTAAAACTAAATATGATTTTGAATGGGCCAATTTGTGGGGAAGTGATAGCTCCGCCTCGGATATTAGGTAAATTTAAAGAAAATGCTTGAATTACTTCAGCTTAGATTTCCGGTGAGGAAAAAGGGGAAAGGCTAAGACTTTTCGGTTATTTTTAATAAACTCGAAATATTTAAAACCAAATACTCATTTCTTTATTAAGTTATTTCATTGCTTTTCTAGATTTTATTTTTTACAAATGAAATCTCTTTAGAATTGCATTCCATTCCATTTCGTTGGATTTTCCCCAACATTAAAAACCGAAAATAATCGACAGCTTTGATAACCCCGATTCGGGAGGCAGTGCAGCATGAAATTGCCTGGCCAGCGGAGCATCCACAATCCCCCATCCTCCATATACATATGTAGTAACATCGCCCAACTGACCAAACAACCCAATTGCTTCGCTGTCCACGGATGCATGGATAATTATCCATGGATTCGGCGAGAAGCCACCGCCCAAGAGTAGAAGATGCCTTCAATACACTAGGCAAAAAATTAAGGCACTAAAGAGGATAATTTCGTAGAATTTGTTTACTAGAAGAAATGCCTCGACTCGCATGCGTAGATTTAGAAAATGTACCTTAAGCATTTTACATAGAAAACCCTGATTAATATGGCTCAAATCCTATATATTACCAAACCAACCAAGTTATATACCATCCCAAATATTAATTAAAATACTCAGTATCTAAACTTCATTTTCTTTAAGTGCAATAGCCATACATAGTTGCATGAGGCGCGTGTTGAAAGCGAAATCAGGCGCGGATTGTGATTAGTTTTGAATCACTTAACCGTGATCAGCTCAGAGGCTACTCTCTAACGACCTTGTCTGCTTGCTGCCAGATTTTCCCGGCTAGATAATGTTGATAAAGATGATTGTCCCCTGCGGGGTTGCTGCAACCTGTTTGCCAGGGCACAGACCCGGTAATGAGCCATCATCTAAGAGATACTTGAAATCGAAAGACAATTACGATTACGATTACAACGATTGCGATGGCAATCAAGAAATAGCCAGGTAATTGCGAAATCAATGAACCACACTCGGAATGAAGGTATATGTATATCTCGTTTGGAGATTGCTCCGATTGCAAATGAGCCAAACCGAGAGTTGAACCCCCAAACAATGGCAATGAATGGCTCTGGCATTAATAATGCATATATAGTCAACACTTGTATGCAAGTATCTGCATCTGACAGATGCACTCATCGCGCTACAAATTCATTTTTCACACGCACCCTTTATGAGAAAAGATAAGGTTTTTCCGAAAGTGAAGCAACATCATTAACTTTTCGTGGACTTTTTTGTCGTTTTCCTTCAGACTTTGGTTTTAGCTTGCTATTTAGAGGGGATTTTTTGCCTTAAAATATGAGTTCTACTTATAAATATATACATAGTTAGGATGATTAGAAATAATTTAGTAAATAATATATACAAAGTTCTCGAAGTATCTTTTTATACTCCCAATGCCTTAAGGCCCTAAAATCTATCATTAAACTCACAGATATCCTCTTGGAAAAATTACCTCTAAAGAGCTTTTAAATATACACTGAATACCTTTTTCTTAGCTTCAAAAAATGAATCGTAACTTTCAATTTTCACTTCAACTGAGCGAGAACTTATCTGCAATTTGTTTGCAATTCGCCATGAGACAAATCTGGCACATGAACAACCCGAAGAAGTAATAATTACCGGGCAGTTTAGAAAACGTTACGGTCGTTAAGCTACAAAAGAAAAACAACCGAAAAAAAGAAATATATAAAATAAAACTAAAGCAGCCGGCAACCGCGAAACCCATAAAATTTCTTTAGCGGAATTCCAGGCTGGCGCTGAGCCAGCATTAAAGTAAAACTGCAAAACTGAAAACTGAGGCAAAGCCCAATATAAACAGCGGACGCTTAATTAATTTGCGCATAAAACTTTCGCGAAGATCTGAATGCCAGCTGCTGCTGCTTCTGGCCGCTTCTCACGCAGAACTCGCGGACAGCGGACAAGAGAACTCGCGGACAGCGGACAAGTGCAGCAGGCGGATAGCGAGTCCAGTTCCATTGAGGTTTCCTAATGGACGACCTAATTGAGTACTCTCGTCTGCCAGAATGTGGCAAGAGCAGACGCAGACCGAAACCAGAACTCCACCTGTGGAGTTTTCATTTTTAAGAAGCTACACAGAGAGAAATTATGAGAAAGAAATCAAGAGGAATTGGGATAGTAGAATCTAATCTAATCTATAATCTTGAACCGATCGTCTTGATCCTAATTTGAGTAGGTTTTATAATGAGCTTATAAAAGACCAATTTAAGATTTATCATTTTACTTTACTTAATTGCAAATTAAATCCAAATAGAACTACATACATTTTTGTTCTCTGTACAACCTTCTCGAGCGAAACTGTTTGGGGGTACAAAGATCACGGCCCGTAAAACGTGCGACAACACACACGGAGAAAATGGGTTAACACTTATTCTCTCTGTCGTAACACTCTGCCTATTTTCTAGGTGGCCCTCAGCTAGACGCCGCGACGATTTTACCTGTCATGTGGATTTCGGGCAGACATTAACCCAAAGGTGCTCAGAACAAGCCAAGTTAAGGCAATCCAACCTCCTCCTCACAACACAATGTACAACGAAGCACAGACGACGTCGTCGCTGGACTATAAGAAGGTGCGCTTAAAAGGACGCCCTTCATATCTTAAATCCCCTAGAGATTTAAGCCGCATCCACAATCCCAACTTCATCTCTGTATACCTGCAAGTCATCCTAATACTCACCGGACTAATCAGTTTAGTTGCCTCAAATCGCCCGCCGCGTTTCGCAATCGACGGGCAGTCAGAGATTGTACTGCGTTTGAAGGAGAGTCCTGAAACGAAAGTGGGTGAGTTCAAAGGAGATACAGTATTATATGAACTAAAAGATATATTTTAGAGTTGAACCACTAAATAAACACATTGATAAATATGTATAAGATTTCAGACAGACCTATATTTATCTCTACAACGATGATGTAATATGAGATATGAGAACTACTTTAAGCTTGGATGACACATTTTAAGCAGAGTACTTAATTATTATTTTGAACTTTCTCATCTCTCTTTTGATACACTTCAATTCCGTGTTTATATCAATCGCATACATATTAAATATATTTTTGAACAACGAAGAAGATTAACGAAACTCCAAAACTATGTGTCATTGTTTTGATATATGGGTATATCTTTAAGCTTAAGATTATATCTATATCAATAACACTTGATTGAATCTTAACTTAAAAGAATCTTATTTATATTTTCCCTGTAGGAACTCTTATATATACCCTAAAGGGCTTCGATCCCGACAACGATCCCTTGACCTTTGGTAAGCGTAATTCCCACGACAGCGAGATTATTCGAATAGAGAACACTGGTGGCAATGAGGCCAAGGTCTTTTTGGCCAAGGAGCTAGACCGAGAGCTGCAGGACGAGTATGCCATTGTGCTGACCCTAACCGACAGTCAATACAGTGATCCCAACTATGTGACGCAGAGCTTCCTGCTCTTGGTGGAGGACATCAACGATAATGTACCCACTTTCCTGCCCTATCAGAATGCCATAGAAATCCCTGAGGGCAATGCTCCGGGAGTGGTCAGTACTTTAGAGGCTACGGACGCGGACGAAGGAGCCTACGGCCAGGTGGTGTACTATCTCCAAGAGCTGGATGGCGACAACGATGTATTCTCCATAGCCACACACCAGGGCAAGGGCATCCTCAAGCTGGAAAGGGAACTGGATTACGAGCGGAAGAGTCTATATCAGCTAAGAGTTCTGGCCATTGATCGAGCGAATCAGGGACCGGTGAACACAGGCACCGCTGCCATTCTGGTGAAGGTCAAGGATCTGGAGGATCAGCCCCCAGAGTTTGTGGAAGTGCAGGCCGTGGCTAGAATTGCTGAGGATGCCCCGGTGGGCACTAAAGTGCTGCGTGTGCGGGCCATCGATGGAGATCGTGGTATCAACAATCCCATAGCTTATGCTCTGGAGGCTAATGATCTCTTCGATATAAACCCCCATACTGGAATAGTGCACACACTAACCAAACTAGATCGCGAGGAGCAGAGCGACCAGGTTAATGGTGCCCACATCCTGCGAATCACTGCCACCGAGTTATCCAAGTCTAATACCCAAGTCGCTCCGATGACAGTTCGCACTGAAGTGACGGTCATTGTGAGCGACGTGAATGATGAGATCCCAACCTTTGGGGAGAACGTATATCGCTGTGAGGTCAATGAGAATGCCCAGACCAATACTCCTCTAAACTTCATAGATGAGGATGTGCAAAATGTGGTTTTTGATCATGACGAGGGCAACAATGGCACCTTTCGACTGTTTCTGGATCCACCCAATGATCTCTTCGAGATTGTGCCAGAACTGGCGGTCAACGAAGCCAACTTTATGCTGAGGGTAAAGAATTCCAAGTCCTTGGACTTTGAACAATTTACAGAGGTCAATTTTACGATATTCGCCAGAGAGATCGATGAGCCCAGTCGTTGGAGGTGGGTTTTACTAGAGCTTTTCCTTTGGAAACTTCTTAACTATTAATCTCTCTTTTAGTTCCGCTCATGTACAAATATTTATTCGTGATCAGAACGATAACTTTCCAGAGTTTAGTCAAGCTATATACAATGCAAGTGTTTTGGAGAACAGCGATCAGGGCACGATCATCACCCAGGTGCAGGCAGTGGATGTGGATTCCGGGGATTATGGCACCATGGGTATACGTTATACCAATCTCCGAGGGGGCATTGCACACTTGTAAGTAACTCTCTTTAATTATTTTCACAGCAAAACCCCTAATCCTCTTTTTCGTTCTTCTCCAGACTCCATCTCAATCCAATTACTGGTGTAATAACCATCAGACAGGCAGGAGGAGCTGCCTTCGATCGCGAGATTATTTCTCGACACTACCTCACTGTGGAGGCCATTGATAGCGCTGGACAGGGCAACCGAAATACAGCCCAGATTATCATAGATATCCTGGATGTCAATGATAATGCACCCACCTTTCCTCAGAGACAATACGAAACGAAGCTGCTGGAGAACCAAGCCGAATTCGAGACTCCACTGCAACTGGAGGCAAGGGATGCAGATCTCAATGGCACTGAGAACAGCCAGGTTACCTACGAGATAGTGGAGGGCATGTACCGCTCCAACTTTACCATAGATCCGCAGAGCGGTCTCCTGCGTCCCGTACATCGTTTCGATTTCGAGGAGTTGGTGGAACGAAGCAATGGAAGGCGTGATCCACAGGCGGGAGGATCTCCCAGTATTCGAGAGATTGATCTGCTAGTGCGAGCTCGTGATTCAGGAATTCCCATGCTCTCCACTGTGGTTCCTGTGCTAATTTACATCCAGGATGTGAACGACAATGCACCGATCTTCCAGCGCAGCTTCTACGCGAAAACAGTGCCCGAGGATCTGCCAGGCGGGAGCTCGGTGCTCCAGGTCACGGCCATAGATCGCGATGGATCCTCACCCAACAACGCAGTGGTCTATCGAATTCAGACGGGTGCAAGTGATAAATTCATCATTAACTCGGAAACGGGCGTCATTTCCGTGGCTCAGGGTGCAAATCTAGATCCTGACCTTACGGACAGCAGGCGATCGCTGTACACTATGACAGTGGTGAGTCTATAAAGAGATTTCATGAAGAATTCCAGAAAACTAACAACTCTTCTCTCCTAGCTCGCTTTAGACGGCGGTTTGGGCAACTCCCAGCTGATGACCACCTGTACGGTGAACATCAGTATTCAGGATGTGAACAACAAGGCTCCAGTGCTGGGTGAAATGCCAGCCTTAAAGATTGTGGAGAACACACCCGTGGGCACTATGGTTTACCACATCCAAGCGTCGGACTTGGATCAGAAAGCCATCCTTCGGTACAAACTTAACCCAGAGCACAGCGAAGGTCGCACTGAGGAGGGAGCACTTGTCAAGAGCGGCGAGTATGACTTCCTGGGAGCCTTTGAGGTGGATCCAATTGAAGGCTCTCTCAAGGTTGTAAAGCTTCTTGATCGGGAACGGGTGGAACACATTAAACTGGCCATTACTGTGGAGGATCTGGCGGCGGCCAAGGGCAGGCAGCTGGTTGAAGGTGGGTTGGTCTTGTTCAAACCAATAAAAATGTATTTATTTATCCCCATTAACTCCTCCTCCAGGCTTCCTTAGCATCCAAGTGCTTGATGAGAATGACAACAATCCCAAGTTCCGGCAGCCCTTCTATAGACAAACCATTACGGAGAACAGCATCAACGGAGCAATGATTGTAAATGTTCTGGCCTCCGATGTGGACAAGAATCGTACCATAACCTATGCTCTGGAGGGCAATCCCACCTATAGATCGATGATGCACTTGGATTCCCAGACTGGGGAGATTGTGGTGGCCAGCAAGATCGATCACGAGCAGCACCAATGGCTGAACTTCAGTGTGAGGGCCACAGACTCTGGAATGCCCCCCAGATCCTCATTGGTGGATGTCTATGTAACCGTCCTAGATGAGAATGACAACAATCCCTACTTTGTGGGTGGCAGCAAAAACTACACGATCAGCGAGAATGCCACTCCAGGAACTAGAGTCGCTACCTTACAGGCAGCGGATGCGGACTCTGGGGACTTTGGAAAGATCACCTTCCTGATGGATCGCATCAGTTCGCAGGGAAAGTTCACCATAGATGCAGACACTGGAGTCCTCACGGTGGCTGATCGCCTGGACAGGGAGTCGAAGGACTCGTATAACCTAGTGATCGAGGCATGGGACAACTATCAGTTTGGGTTCCTGGCCGGCGAGAGTCGGAATGCCTTCAAACAGGTGTTGTAAGTTATTAAATTTCCAAGCTATTCTCAAGTAATATTATTTAATGCTAACTTCCTTAGCATTTCCATCTTGGATGAGAACGACAATTCCCCGGAGGTGAGCCTGCCCAGGAGTTGTGTCCTTATCACGGAGTACCACGAGTTGCACGAACGGGTGGCCAGCATAGCTGGAAAGGATGCTGATGATCCAGCCACTCCAAACGGAAGGCTAGACTTTGCCATCACCCAGGGAAATAAAGAGGGTAATATGCCTTTTGATATTCTGTTAAACATCAGAGTCCTAAGCTAGATTTTTCCTACATTTCTCAGGCATGTTTGAACTACGGCAGGTGGACCCTTGGAATGCCCAAATCTTTGCTAGCAAAAGCCTGCGCAATAAATTTGGCAACTATAGCTTAACCATAACCACTAGAGATTTGGGCCTACCGACAAACATTGTGCACAGCACTCTGGACATTTGTGTCTCGGACTTTAATGATCATGCTCCTGTTTTTGTGAGACCTTTACATAATACCACTGTGAGGATTCCAGAGAATGCCACTGTGGGAACTCTGATATTACAGGCCTATGCCAGTGATGCGGATATGGGGCAAAATGCTTTGGTGAGATATCGCCTAAAACCTGATCCTTTGGGTAGCTACAAGGTGTTCGAAGTGAATGCCAATACGGGAGAACTCTACCTCAAAGAGCCTCTAAACCGGGAAAGGCAAAAGATACATGAGGTAATCTATTTTATTAATAAACTAGAAACGAAACTTATTTCGGAAAGCCGAAGTGTATATACCCTTGCCGTTTGCAATTATAATTAAGCATAAAATATTTGATATATTATTTTCCTAAAATCAAAGTTTAAAAAACTCATAACTAAGCCAAAAATCCATTAATATTAATTGAAAAGCTTTTCTATGTTAGTTTTTATTAGGTTTATAAATATGCATCCTCAATTTAAAATTTAAATTAATTTAAAATTTTGTCAATTTCTTTTATATTTTAATGATTATTATTATCAATTATCAAAATTTTGAAAAAAATTAAATTTTATCCGGACAAAGCTAGATCGACTCGCCTGTTGATGCTGATCTACAATATATAAGATTTATCGGGTCGGAAATGATTCCTTCACTGCGTTTTATGCTTCTTACTGAAATTATAATACCCTCCAATAAATAACAATGAAATAACTAGTTTTATTTGTTATATTCCTTTCCAGATTCGCATAGAGGCCTACGATCAAGGTTTGCCCACCTCACTGAGCTCCGACTTGGACCTAACCATCTATGTGCGCAACGTCAATGATTATGAGCCGCAGTTTATAGTCAACGAGATAGCCGTAAACTTCACAGAGCACTCAGATCCCGGGGCTGAGAGGATTAAGCTGCCTGATACTGTGGACAAGGACCAGTTGGATCTGGACGATCCAAATGAGTCGCCCAGCCAGGTGTGTTACTTCATAGTTAGCGGAAATGAAGCAGGATACTTCCGGCTTGATCCGGAAACACATATCCTAACCGTTGATCGGGAACTGGACCGCGAGGTGGTGGCCAACTTTACACTCTATGTGAGGGCCACCGAGAGCTGTGGGAATGAGTCCCTTTCTGGTGGAGGAAAACGCCGCCGGATGGGCATTGAGATTAATAATAGACTGGGAGGCTTCTTGCACAATCAGCAGCAGAATGGCTACGATCGCTATAAGCACTCCCGGCAACTAAGAGAGGCATCCAGCAGAGAAGAGTATGAGGTGGAGGATGGAGAAGCAGATAGCGAATTGGTGTCCTATGAGAACTACGAGGGCAGTCAAGAGGTAGGATCACCCCCATCGTTCCAACACAACCCAGAAGCAGATAGCACTATAGTAAAGGTCAAGGTACGAGTGCTGGACATCAATGATAATCCGCCGCGTTTCCGATCCAAAATCTTTACTGGTGGCATCACGACCAATGCTGACTTTGGTTTGAAATTTATGCGTGTTGAGGCCACGGATGCGGATGAGGGACAGAATGGGAAAATTGGCTACTACCAGGTGGGTGATATTCGGCAGACTCTATCCGAAGGACTGGAGAATGTCCGCAAAGCCCCATTCCTGCTCGATTCGGAAACAGGAGAGGTTCAGCTGAACTTTGATCCGCAGAAGGGAATGAAGGGATACTTTGATTTCATGGTTTTGGCCAACGATACCTTGGGCATGAGGGATGTGGCCCATGTGTTCATTTACCTACTGAGAGAGGACCAGAAGGTGCGCTTTGTCTTCCGCCTGCAGCCAGATGAACTGCGTTCCCGTGTGGACACATTCAGAGAGTAAGTTTAGGAATATAGTTCTCTATTTATAATTTATAATCCTCTCAAATTCCCTCCTATAGCACCCTGGGAAACATCACTGAATCAATAGTCAACATCGATGAGATTAAAGTGCACGAGAATAAAGATGGTTCGGTGGACAAAACCAAGACGGATTTGTATATGCATCTAGTCGAGCGCGAGGACAACTCCATTTACGAGGTCTCCGAAGTGCTCAAGCTGATTGACTCGCACATCGAAAGCCTGGACGGACTGTTCAAGGACCTCAATGTCCTGGACACTCAGCCAGCGGAGGCTCAGCTCCTGACCGCCGGTCCTACCCGGGGTCCACTATTCGTATGGCTGGTGTTTACCAATCTTTTTTTGGCCACTCTACTGGTGGTGACGCTGGCACTGTGTGCTTCCCAGCGGAATGGTTATCGTAGGCAACTAAGGGCCGCCAAAGTCAACATATTCCGTGAGTTTCTGAAGTTTCTTATTTGTTAAATATATTAATTTAATTCCTACTCCCATATAGGTGGTCATTCCTCAATGTCTTTGCAACACACCCAAGAAACCGCCACTCGTGTGCCAAATACCAACAAGCATAGTGTCCAAGGATCAAATCCTATCTGGCTCAAGGGTTACGAGAATGAATGGTTTAAAGCCGAAGAGGGCAGGTACGATATCAAACTATCACTATTTGGATCCTATAAGAAATTAATTACTATGTTTATTTTCTAGCACTGGCGGCCCTGACTCTTTGGATGATAACTTCCTGGCGGTGGTGGCCACCCAGGATATGCACGAAACTCTCAAGGGAACTGCCAAGCTCTTCAACAATAGCAACGACCTAAATCGCCACTTTAATCTGTACAATCAAATCGATAAGCTCACAAATAATGCTCAGATCCTGGCTCGAAAACTGGAGACCACGGAATTATAGCACAAACAGTCCACATTATTTATAACAACTAGACTAGGGTTAGTTTAGGTTTAGAGTTCGTAAGACCCATTTGTAAATAAATCGAAGTGTATAAAGCTCAAACTGAATGCTAGTTTAAATATTACTAGTGAGTGGAAAGATGATGTTTAACAGATGTATCCTTTCTCTCCTATCTCCCAATAAAATGGCTCCTGTAATTAGGGCAACAACTCACCTGCTACTCAGGTTCTTGATAAGAAAAAAGTGGGACGCACAGGCTTCCGTTTCGTTCGGGAATGGCAATATAAAAATACACTTATAGAGCACAGCTGCAGGGAATAAGAAGGGATCCAGTTAAAGACAATGTTCGCTTCATTTAGCTACACTCACCACGCTTCAGTATCCAGTCTCTCAAAACTGCCGACGACCGATTAAAAACGTACAAAAAATGTGACTAATCGGGGAGACTTGGGCTTTTTAAGACATTTGTGTGCATCACAACCCAGGTCACACGACTGCCTGCTCCAAGAACGGGAATGGGGGCAACTCCTACTCACCCACTCACTCACCTCCGGCTATATGTGGACCCGATTGCTTGTCCTATTTGGTAAAGTGTCAAATATTCTTGAATGGATTGATGGATAGATAAACTTGAAGGTCGGCGCCAGCCAGCAATAGAAACTAAAAACAATAATTTGCAAGGTAACCTCTGAGAATTTAAAGCGCGACCGCAAGACGGAACGCACTAAAGGAAACCGGGGACAGCTTGTGATCCTGTCGTTGGTTTCTTAATCGGCGATCTTGGGCCGCGGCTCTTTTAGGTTTAATATGTTTTCGGGAGTTGTTCGGAGTTAGTGTCAGTGCAAACAAACTGTTTCCTAGGACAAAAATTATGTAGGTAACTGAAGCTTCGGTGAGGCTCTGAGTTTGTTGACGGCGCCTGCCGAGATCCACACGGCTCGGCGAATGTGCTGGACCAGAGAGTAGCCCAAAAATCCCGTGAGGCAATGACAAGGCCGAGTGCTTGGTTTGTTTTTTTGTTTTGCTTTCTTTTTTTTACTAAAAATATGGTATTATTATTTTATAATATTTTCTTCTCAGGGTAAAATATTTAGTTGCTTGCCATAAAATCAATCAATTCAGTTTTCTTTTGCTTCGTTTGTTGTTGCTTTTATTTTTTTTTTGTTTCGTTTTCTTAAATGTATTTTGTTGATTTTTTTGTTTTTCATTTATAATAATAATAGTTACACAAATTAGATCACAAAAATGCACGTAAATTACAAAAATGAAATTGTACCTCATACCGAAAAAACATAGACAGAACACTCTTCATCTTGATGGTCGAAACGAGGCGGAGGAGGCTACTTCTGGAGGGATCATCTCTACAGTTCGCTTACAAGGTAAGGTTTGTGTATAAAAAAATGGGGATTAAAGCATATAATCAAATACATGGTTCCGTACAAAAAACAACACAAATTTTGTTCGCGTTCAGATCAGAGTAATCAGAGTAACTAACTCAAGAACAAATACATACATAGTTAAATCTAGATTTTTAGAGTTAGAGAGTGAGAGTGTGAGGGAGTTTGGTAATCGTATATCATATATTACAGAGTTCCATTATTGGTTAAAATAGTTCTTCCTGCTGCTGCTCATCGCCCGTGACCGATGCAATTGGTGCAATGGGTGGTGCGTGCCTCAACTTAATGCCAAAAGTCGATGCGTGTCGTGATACATTATACAAATACACATAGTTTATCTAGTTATCTCAGATATTAAACGTTTTTCATTCATTTAATACTTGCTTAGATGCCAAATGGTGATGACGGATGAGAAATGAAAACTTACAATGGTTTTTATGGGTCAAATGGAGGGATGGAATGGTATTGGTTGGGCTTGGGGATCGGGTTGGGCTCCAGTGAGAGTGGTATATATATATATATCGTATTTTAAAGCGTAACAGTTTTCTTGCATGTTGTTTTTTGTGTATATATAGTATCCCATTATATATATATATATTTATATATATATTTATGGTTGTTACATTTCATTGTAAGTCCTATATTTAATATATATATTTGTTAATTTACAGAAACGAACGCAAAAGGTAAAAACTCAAGAATAAGAATGGTCGCTCAGCCTAATTTTGCTTTTAAAATTTCGTTAGGCTAAATTAAAATCGAACAAAGTTTCCGTTATCTTATTAAATTAATGAACTTAAATATATAAAATCAAAGTTTACACTTTACAATTAGCTTGTTTTTGATTTTTTTTGTTGATTTGTTTTTTTTTGTTTTACTCGTGTTTGTGGGTTGGTTTAAATTAAAGCTTACTTTTTAAAGTATGTGTACAGATATATATATATAGGTAGTATCATGTATATATATATATATATAGGTATATTTTATATATATAAGTTGTATATATATTTAGTAATACGATTCGCGGTTTCAAACTAGTCCCTTGTACGTTGTATGTTGGTGTGTTGTTGTGTGAAGTGTGGAGTGTTTTGTGTGGTGTGTGTTTGGTGAGTGTTGTTGTTGTATGTTGTGTGTTGTTTTTTGCTTATGCTGTGTGTTAGTGTATAGTGCAAATCAAGAAATAAACAAAACTAAAACTCTTTGCTTAACTAGCTTTTGTTTATCTTTTTCTGGTTTCCTTAATGAATTGCGATTTTTTTTTTGGGCTGTGTACAGTGTTTTTGTTGTCGTTCTTGTTGTTTTAAATGCGCGCTCACAAAATGTTTAAACAAAATTCTAGGCTTACTTTTTTTAGGCTTTCAACGAACTCACGCAATGTTTCGCGTTCGGTGCCTTTTATTTTACTTCAGAAGTTTTAATTTGTTGCTATATTTCCTACTAATTCGGTTTTCTGCTTTCTGTTTGCTGTTACTTTTATAAATATACTTTTTCTCGTTTATTTATAGGTTTAATAAAGCTGCTCTCTACACAATCCTCTGTTGTTGGTTCACTAACAAATTAAATTACTTTAAGAGAATTATGTAATGCTACAGTTTCCCGCGAATTTACAATATTAAGTTTCTTCTAAACTCCGTACCTTTCTTTGTTTAAATTGAATTAATATTTATATATTTTTGGACATTTTTTTTCAGATTTTATATAAGTTTTATGTATTTTTTTTCTTTGTTTAGATTTTTACAGTAACGCATATGTGAATGAATTTCTGAATGCTATATTAAGCAACAAATTGTATCTAAACGGATTCGTTTAAATTGAGATATGAATCGAAAATTTGTCCGAAATTGTAAAGAAAATGATTGAAAATTTCTTGGCGGAGTTTGCTCAGAAGTAAAAGTTTTAAAAATCTCTGTCTCTCTTGAAAATATATAGTCAGCCTGGAAAGCGGCGCAAATTAGGTTTGCAGCACTAGGCCCCGGATGTCGGTGGAGGCGCCGTTACTGCTGCTGTTGCCGCCGCCGCTGCTGCTGTCCACAAACAGCGTGGCGGCATCGATGCCGGACGTGTTCGGTGAGTGCATCACGGCATCCGCCAGCAGATCATCGCTCACGTCGAGGAAATCGTTAAGGAAATCGGCACTGTCCGCCGAACCGCCGATCGTCTGCTGCAGACACTTGAGGTTCTTATCGGCAATCTCCAGCGCCCGGTCCATGGCCTCGCACTCGGCTTGTTGCACTGCATCGGCACAGATCCAAGGCGAGGGCAATGGCAGGGACAGGGATGACAGCGACAGCCACAACGGAGGCACACATGGATTAGTACAATGAAAAGCTGAACAAGTAAAATTTTGGTTAAGGCATACACACCGGATTGGAACAGCTCGTTGAAGGCATCGTCCGGCAGCGTGTCGAACACATTGACCAGATCGTGCTCTTCCAGCAAATGGGCACCGTTCAATGCTATATCATCTGAAAAAGAAAAGTCGATTATTAGAATGCCGTTTTAGTTTCTTCAAGGTATAGGGAATAATTCTGATTAATATTTAACATGAAACTCACCAGCATCGTGAGCGCCCGCCATTAGCTCCGACTCGCTGATTCCACCCAGACCCGTGTCCTCGGAACTGGCATAAGCTGAGCTGTTTTCACAGATTCCAAACATATCCTGTCCCAGCAAATCTGCCGTATTGGCCAGGATAGCAGGAGCTGGAGTAACAGCTGAACCGTTGTGCGTGATTGTTGCTGTTACTGGTGTTGTTGTAACTATGGGCTGACCCATAGCATTGCCAAAAGCCGTGTTGAATGAGGGGAAACTGTGCTGGTTATTATTGTTGCTATAGCTTATATTGTTGTTATTATTGTTGAAGTGCACGCTATTGTTGTTAGTATTATGATTGTGGTTGCTACTATTATTGTTGTTGTTTTGGTGTAAGTCCCCACCAGCAGCTGCCAATTGGGCAACAATTTGGCTAATTTCTTCGGCCTTAATATCCAAATGTTGCTGCTGCTGGTGGTCAGTGAACAGTGGCAGCTCCCCTGTCTCCAATTTAGGGACCAAGAGCGGTTGCTGCTGCGGCTGCTGCTGCAGCTTGGACTGATAATCCCCACTAAGCGGAGCCAAGGCCGGCGGTATGGACAATTGTGGCATAGTCTGTGGTGCTGGCGTGTAGGGCAACACCTGCGAGTGCGAGGCGGCCGAGGAGTGCGAGTTGCTGGCAATAGACTCCAGCGAAGTGGTGCTGTTTTTGCGTTGCATTCCCATTCCTGCCGTTGGTATGAGTGGCAGGTTGCTCATCACTGCTCCACTGTTGATGCTGCCGGTGATCGGCTGCTCGCCGGCTGCCGGTTTCCTGCCCCGTTTCTGCGGACGCGCCACAGGATTTGGATTGGCTTTGCGCTTGCGCTGCTTAACGGGTACACACATCGTCACAGCTCCAGAAACTGGTGCCGCATGCTTTGGCGGCGGACGAGCTGCATCCAGGCCAGCACGCAGGTGACTGTGTACTGTGCACAGGGCTAGCGTGTGCAGGACATCGAAGACAGGAGCCTGGCAGGCAGTTCCATCCATTCGCCAGGCCACGCAGGGCTGGAACAATTGCTGGGTGCTGTTGTTCACAATGTGGCGATCGCAGTGCGCCGCCATGCTAAGCGTTGGCAATTTGCAATTGGCCACTAGACAGCGATTGCCAATGCCACTAAAGAAGAAAATAATAATTAATAATTTATACTTTAAAATAATAAAGTTTAACTTACATTCCCTGCTGTTGACCGGCATGATCCTGGTACTTTAGCAGCAAATTTTGGACACATTGCAACCGTTGTCTGGCCGCCCTCATAGGCATGTCCTGCAGCGAACGTGTGGACAACAGCTGGAGGGCCTGCCGCCGCAATTGTCCTTTCCGCATAGCGATCCGTTCTTCACGCCGATTGCTAGGGGAGAGCGGCATCTCCAGAGACAGATCCCGGCTAGAACTAGAGTGCAGCCAGTGCTGCTGCAAGCAGTAGGGCGAGTCCGGCAGAAAGGTCTCGTTCTCACTCAAAGTCACCGAGCAGCAGCGATTGGAGGAGGGCTTGCGGCGACGCTGGCGATGCGCGGAGGGTTCCGATTTAATGGACACCGGAGATGGCGACGTTGCAACTGGTTCCTGTGGCGGCGGCGGTGGCATCGCCGCAGTGGTTGGCAATTTCTTAGCTGCAATATTGTTGTTGTTGCCTCTCCTTGGTGTGGTTGAAGCTTGACGTTTGGCGGCCGCTTTGGAAGACATTTGTTCATTTTTCTTGGCTGCTGCTGGGGCGGGGGTGCTGTTGTAAGTGATGGGGCTTGCAAAGCGCTGGGAGGTGATGAAAAAACAATTTCGGAGCTGGGAACAGCTGGCGGAGAAACCACATTGAGGCCTTTGTTGCTGGGAACAGTCAGAGCCGGAACACAAGCTGTGGGCGTTGGCGGATGCATGTGAGCAAGCAAAGGGGGAGCCGACAACTCCGGCGGTGTGGGCGGCGTTAGAGGTGTCACCATCTTAATACCCGTTGCTCCATCGGTTGCCTGCGCTGCACTAGCTCCTGCTACTGGAGGCATGCGGAAGATAACGTTGACGGGAATCTCGTTGAGATCACCAGTGTTATCGCCATTGTTGCCGGAGGAATGTTTCTGTGGCGAAGCGGCAATCGGTGGAGGTGGTGTTGCCACTGTTGAACTATTGAACACCGTCAGTGGTGGCGGCTGCGTCTGATTATAGTTCGAGCCCTGCGCCAGCACCGGTTTGTTCAGTGATTCCACCATATTGTTGTTATTCAGCATCTTTATGTTGTTGTTGTTGTTTTGGCTAGCCAACGGCAAGGACTTCTTTTTCTTCAAACATTCCACCTTCTGCAAGTGTTGCGCCAACGTTGTATGATGGAATTTCGATGGCGGCAATGGCAATCCACCCTTGGGCGATACAGAGATCGGCGCCACCATGGCGGTCACAGCACCGGTGGCTGGTGGCAATGTGGGCGAGGTTAACGAGGCGGGCGATGTGGGCGGACTGACCAGCGAAACGGCGATCGACTGCTGCTGCTGAAGAGTTAGCTGTTGCTGCTGAAGAAGCAACTGTTGCTGCTGCTTTTGCTGTTGCTGGAGGTGCTGTTGGTGTAGAAGTTGCTGCTTTTGGTGTTGCTGCTGCTGGACAATTTGCTTTTGCTGTTGTTTGTTCTGCTGCAATGGCTGCGACGGTTTCTGTTGCAGCTGCTGCGACTGCTTCTGCTGCTTAGGCTGCGGCTGGGTTTGTTTTTGGCCATTGTCCAGCAGCAGCGGCGTCTGCCACAGCGACGGCGTATGGGAATAGAGTGGCGGTGGTGGAGGGGCAACCGTTGCCTGACAGGACTCCTTTTCCTTCTCCTGCTGCTGCTGTTGCGGGCGGACTATGCACACGTTGGTGGCCCGTTTCGGTGATGCCTGCGACTGTGACTGCAACGATTGCAGCGGCAGTTGCAATTGCAACACTGGCGACAAAGCGGACTGTCTCTGAGATTGCGTGACATGATGGAAATTCGTTGTGGTTGTGGTGGTGTTAGTCGCCAAAGACGCCTGCGCCTTTGCGGTGGCTGCTGCTGCTGTGGCATTCAGTTGGAGCACCAGATTCGCCTTCCTGCTCGCCGCAGCTGCTGTCGCCGACTGCCTCTTGTTGCTGCTGCTTCTGCTGCTGCTGTCGCTTAAGCGGGTTCGCGATTTCTGATACAAATGGAAATACATAATAGATTAAAAAATGTTAATCGTAAGTATGGTAGAAATGACACTCTATCGAGATTGATACTTGTAAATAAAGATTTTAAAAAGCTCTTTATTCTTTTTGGTATATCAAAAAAATTGTATGAGAAATGAAACGAAAAGAAATCTGATCATTTTCTATATTTGAAATTTCGATATATTAATATTTATATTATATTTCATTTTATATTATAATTAAATGCAATCGTATATCATGCCTGGCATATTTTAATTACTATACCTGCTCCAAAGCATGTTCAGGTTTTGAAATTTATACTATGTGCATTGTATCATGAGTTATAAAAAATAAAAACAACTTTTCTACTATAGCCTATTTCATTGTCATATACTTATTCAGCATATATTTGGTATATTTAATTGATAATATTTATCATTGGATAATAAAATGAAGACAGTAAGCTAAATTATTATAAATATCAATTTTATTGCATTTGGCTGGTTTAATGTATCACTTTGTTATTATTTATTACTTTATCAGAGCTAATTGGCGATTGCCTATAAATAATACATTAACTGACCACACATTTAGTTGTATCATGACATGTTTTTTTTCTTTATATTTAAATGCCTGCAGATAGGTGCAGATATTTATAACATTTTATTTTGATACACCTACGGAGCACTATAGTTTTAGTCAGAAACATAAAAGGCTGTGAACGAGTCACTTCCGACCCTATGAATCATATATATTCTTGATCTGCATCATCAGCCGAGTCGATCTAGCCATCTCAGACAGAAAACAAACATTTTCAAAATTTTCCAAAATTCTATAAGGGGTTACATCGTTAAAATTGTCAAAATTTGTGAAAAATTTTTAATTTTTAAGAATATTAAAGTAAGTGTGCAGGATTGATAACATAATCAAAACTGACATAGGAAAGGTTACCGTATTAAAATGAAAGTACGTTTGTCTTAGTTATGAGTTTTTTAAACTTTGATTTGTTAACAAAAGAGAGACTGAAAATGGGCTAGATAATATCTCCTTACCTGTGCATTAAATAAAATGGGCGGTGCGACTGCCACGGTCTCTGTGAAGGCATAGGGATCCGTGTCCTCGGACGTCGTCTTGGCGGCGGCAATGCTTTCCACCGGCGTCAGTGTTGCTGCTGCGGCTGCTGCTGCGGTGGCAATTCTCCTGCTGGCTGGTGTGCTTTTAGCTAATGTGGCTGCTTGGAATCTGGAGACTTGCTGACATGACATGTCCAATGTGAAGCCGTTGCCGTTGACGCTTTTGCTTTTTTCCCAGCGCTTGCCGTTCTTTCTGTTGCTGCTGTGGTGTTCCTGTTGTTGCCCTTGCTCTTCTTCTCCTCTTTAATCTGCAATTGAAAAAGAAAAATCAATAAATTTAAAGTTCACAAGGGAGACGGACGTCATAAATGGGCGTTGTCACGTGCTCTCTGCCAAAATGCATTCGCACACTCACTCACACACACATTCGCATACTCGCAGTCTCGCTCTCGCATTTACGCTCTCACTCTGGCACACAACGAATGCGATAATAAAAACAAACTACAATCAAAATAAATAAATCTGCTCGCCGAAACCAGTTCAAGTGAATCGTTCGTTGCTTTCTTTCTGCTTCGTCTCTTTCCTCTTTCTTCTGTCACCTCCCCACCCCTCCCCAACCCCCTTCGGCTGATTTCATTTCTTTTCTGCTTTGCGCTTGGCACCGCCGCCGTTAATAACAAATGCTGATAGCGCAGCAAAATGGCAATTATTAAAAATAATAAACCCAGACACACAATCGCCTGAAAAAAAAACACACTTGCGAGCGAATTTTTAGATATTCATAAATTATAATTATTTTTATTTTCAGCATTAATTTTTTATACATTTAAAATTATTATTGAAAAATATTATTTACAAAATATTTAATTTATTATTTAAAGTGATTTTGTTAAGTTTGTTACAAGCTTCGATCATCAAATTTCGATATCTCATAAATTGGAATGCAATACTTTTTGTTTTGTTTGTTTGAAATAATGAACAGTTAATTACGATTACAGGCAATTATTTTGAACTTGATTCTTATGCACAAAAAAAAAATTATTATCTTGAAAATTACAGCATCTAAATAATTCAAAGAAATCGATCGTTGTCGCTATTATTCTGTCCGCAGCTGTTGCGCTGGCCAAGCGTCACGAAAAAAGTTCGCACAAATTTGCATGCTAAGTAAATCAAAGAATCACGTTTGTGTGCACACAAACAATAACAAAATCAACTGCGTAGGAATACTATAATCTTATTGAACTTAGCGAAACGGCAATTATTGGGGCAGACAATGCAAAAAGAGAGGCAGAAAAAAAGAGAAACAGCAAAGATAAGCGCAAAACGGGGCCGAATTGCTGGACTTTCCGAGCAAATCTTCGAAGAAATGGAGAAATTCTAGAGGAATGATTCGGTACAATTTGCACACAACAGCGCAATATGGGGGAAAATCAAAGAAATGGGGGGAAAACACATTTCCGCTCCGTGTGTGCTCATTGTTTTCTTTGAGTTTACAGCTTTTGATTAGTTTCGCACATATTGATTTCCATTTTCAGCCATGATACGATATAGTAAAGCCGGGATGGGGGGGGTAACAAGTTATCCAACTTATCGCTTAGAGTGGAATGGAAAATGCTTCTTTGTTTGTTTATGATTTCTTTACGTTTTCCGAGAAAAAAGGAAATGACTTTGAAAGCATTTGCAAGTTCCCTTCACCGCACAAACAGAGCCAGAGCCAGTGCCCGCCCTCTTCTTACCCGCACTTGCTTCTACAGTTTCCTCATTTTCCTTGACTTCCTCACGCCACACCCCATTTTCCCGCACTTTTCCGCATCCACTAACGCATTCAAGACGACTCCTGGCGTATACGTGTGAGTGCAGCAGTGTACGTGACACTTTTGTTTATGATTTTTATTTTTACTCATTCATCCGTCGAACGAAGGGGAGACATTGAATATCTTTAAGGTTAAAGCCTACACCCTGAGAAATAAGTTCTTGAAAAGACCATCTCAATTGCAAAATTACTTTGGTTTATTTGAGGTTGAGGTTGAACATCTATCAACTAACTTTACACTAATATTTCTCTTGGTATTAAATATGAAAAAAGTCTTTATAATATTATATAAATCCACAGAAGAACTGCTATTAAATGTGGTACCATTCTTTAAGTCCAGTGTACTGGAATACGCAGGGAAAATAAATCAAACAACTTGAAGTAAAGGTTTTTGATCCTAAGCTCACAGACGAATACGAAGTCCAAGATTTTAGCGTACAAATAAAAATAAAAAATTAAAAATAAAAATACAAAGAGAGAAAGAGACAAGGAGGAAACCGCACAAAAGCAAACTGTCGATAATTGCAAATAATGACGATGCTGGGAATTTGTTATTGTTTGCTGTTGCTGCGGCGGCAGTCCGTAGTCTGTAGTATAGTAGTATTTGTTGTTCTTGCCAACGATCTCCGCGCAGCAAGTCGTCTTTGCTTTTTGGCCATTTTAGGTCTTAAATGTTAACTCGTTTTTTTGGTCCAACTTGGAAACACGCTCGAATGATAAGAAGCGGAGACAAGAAGACAAACGAGAAAACAAGAAAAGCCAAAGAACCGACGAAAAAAAGACCGAAGACAAAAGAAGTCAAAGCTGCAAGAAGACAGCCATCGAACCTGAACGAAAAATAAAAGAAACACAAGCTGGTAGAAACCATACAAATCCGCTGGATGCTGAGAAGAAACCGAGATCAGTGATCTTTAGATGCTCAATTTTTAATGTATAAACTTTAAACCAAACGAAGAGCGGTGACTAGGAAGCGAAATGTACAAGTTGAAATCAAAATAAGTTTAGCTAGAGTTACAAATTAGTATTTGTAATTGCTTTTTTACAGAATTCGGAATGGCATTTGGCAACAACTTTGTTTAGAAAACAATTTGTATTGCAGATACCTGATTGTCAATCAAATGTCTAGAGTTTAAAGAAAAAATAAGATTGCCTTTGAAGAGTTAATATATGATTGACTTCATTCAATTGTTTTTTTTGTTTCCAACCTTTTTAGAGAATTGGGAATGGCATTCAACTAAAACTTGATTTTAATGTCGAAACTGAGACCAATAATATTTTAGATACTTAATTGTCAGTCAAATGTCTCGAGAAACATTGCTTTGGCAGCGTCATAGAAATGTTATTGGTCTATAATTGATTTTTTCTAAAACATTTTTGAATTGATATTTATGGATATTTTTTTACATACAAATCCAAGCTTAAAAAACTCATGACTAAGCTAAAAATACATTAATTTTATTTTGGAAAGCAGTCCTATGCTAATTTTTGGTAGGTAAATAAAAATTTTTTAAAATTTTGAAAAAATTAAATTTTATCCGGACAAAGCTAGAACGACTCGCCTTTTGATGCTGATCAAGAATATATATGATTTATCGGATCGGAAGTGACTCCTATACTTAGTTTCAAGCTTCTGACGAAAATTACAATACCCTGCAAAGGGTTTAAAAAAGACTGATTTGTCAGAGTAAACGAGGAGTAGAAGAAGGAATAATATATAATAGACTAATGGCATCAGGGCTAATGACTATTGATTTTCTATATTAGGGAGCGCTTCGTTACAAGTACTTTAATATTAATGGAACAATTGAAACCACGAAAGGGGCTTAAATTGTTTTAAATTATCTGTAACAGACATTTTACAAATGATAATGACGTAGCTATGTACTATAACCTAAACAGACTAAGCTGTAAATTGAAATTTAATTGATAAACTAATTAAGAATAAATATTTGTGAACATTTTTGTATACGTGACTGTGTGCCGTTTTTTTTTTAAGTTGAAACTTTGAATGTACTACATACAATGATGTTAAATTGTTGAAATTCTAAATTAAACAACCAGTTTAAAACAAACAATGAATAAATTAATACTTGAATCATTCCTAAGTTTAGATTCTTTCATTAAAAAGACTTTAAATTAAATGTCGACTTGCGTTGAAACACACACTAGCGATAGAATAATAGATCATGTTTATGGATTTCCAAGGCGATTACTCCACTGCCACTACTCTAACATTAATGGAAAATTTTCGAGCAGAACGCTGCGAGGAGAGCTGGAAAGAAAAGCCTCGAGGAAAACGCATGTCGTGGAACACGAAGGTTGAATGGCTCAAGAAACCGCCGTGCTCAAAGGTCTGAGTCTGATTCAGCTTCGCTGGCTAAACGAGCTGCGGACAGATGGATGGCTACGTCAGGTAAGAGGTAAGCGACCAGGTAGCAGCCAGGCAAGCAGGCAGGCAGGCAGGCAGGCAGAAAGCCGGTCGAGAGGTTAATTACGAGAGCAAAGCGTTTGCAGCGTTACGCTCGCTGGACTACGGCACAACATGAAAACACAAGAACTGGAAAACATACAACTACCAGTTGAACGAACAGTTTGCAACATGCTGGCTGGTGAGGAAAAACAAACCAGGTATTAATTTGCAGCACACATTTGTTCATATCGGGGCATAACACCTCATTTTCACAGCAGAACGCCCTTTCTCAAAGGTTTCCTTTTGCATACAAATCGTTGTAGTTCTAAGAAATTTCCAAGACAAATTTTTAGAACTCTGTTGAATCATTGACACATGGAGATTGTAAAGTTTAGATAGGCTTTCAGTCTTTTAAAGAAATAGTGTAGAATTTCAACAGCAATTATGAAAACTATTGTGTAATCTAATCCGAAACAAGCTTTTTAAGGGTTTATTTCTTTAATAATTTGAAACCAACTCTTGACTTTTGATTCCGTGCTAAGCCACATCAAATGTCTTATCAGTACTTCATAGATATGAAATAGATAGTGCTTCTACTATTCCCCTAAAATTAATCGGAGTATTAATCATTGTGGAATTAAATAAATTATGAAGTTAACCTAAATAATACTTTTCTATAATAAAAAAAATCAGGGGTCTTATTTGTCGACACATTTTCGTCACTAGTATGTTTAACACTTCTCTCTGATCGAAATGTTTTGATTTTATAATTTAGTTTCATTTAAAAATGATTCAGCATCAAGGTATCAAATTGATAAGATAACGTTAATTTGTAAAGTAAGCTAAAGTAATGTCTAAATTTAGAGATGACTCTCTCTGACTTATGCTGTACTTTATTTAGGCGCTTCGATAAGAAGCAGATATATAGAAATAAATAAATAAAAAACAAGAAGGTAAGCTGTATTTTCGTCGACATTGACGCACTGAACTGAAATTGCATTAAAATGCACATTACAGGAAAGCGGCGGCAAAGGCAAACCCGTTTGCTTCTGCTGCTGAGGCTGTGGTTGTGGCTGCTGCTTCCTTCATAACCGGAAACTGAAGGCTAAATTGTGCAAAAGCAAAATAAGCGCAGAAAAAATAAGAGGAGAAAAACAATATCACATAATGACGACATAGGGGAAGGTGAGGCAGCAAAGGCAGCTGGAGATTCGGGATGGAGATGGCGATGGCGATGGGAGATGGAGAGGTAAAAGCCAAGGGGCGGCAGGAGCCAAGAGTCGAGAGCCAAGAGCCAGACATGCGGTTCAGTTTGTTCAGCCAGGCAGCGAAGCCAAACGAACTCCGTTCCATCTGCAGCTCAGAGCTCGACTCCACTTGGGCACTTTTGCACCGCATCGCATCGCACGTAGGCCCGTCCACTTCCCACAGTGGAGGCTCCAGCTACAGTGGACACTGCCTATGGGGACAACGACAACCCTAACCGCTGGAATGCTGCCAAAAAGGGTGACTTCAGTCTCTGGAGTATTTTTTTATAACGCCACAAACACACCCGGCAAGAGGCATGAGTCATGCAACTCCGCTTGGGGTTTCACAATTCGCAGATTTTGGTGTCTCAGTTTTCTTGAACTTGCTTTTGTTACCAAAAACTAATTAACATTTATGCAGGTTATTTAAGCCAAGCACATATGAGTCATTGAGATCAGGGGCAGAAAATTCTTGCAGATTGTATGATATTTAAACCACAAACTTATAACGAGCATGGAAAACAATCTCTAAATCAAATCTAATGTTAACAAAAAGACAGCAATTTGAATTTGACTTGTTGGTTAACATAATTTAGTTAGCGTTTAAGTGTCTTGTTTATAAACTTTAAAAATATTAATAGTTTGAAAGATGGGACCTATTTTTCAATAAATACAAAATAAAATATAGAGAATTGTGAAGAACTCTGATAATAATTACCACGAATTTTATGTTAATACACAAAATCAGAAACTAATTCTTTAAAAATAACACTTTTAACTGCTTGTTAAAGTTGTAGTTAAATAAAAATGTATAAGATATTTGCCCTCATGCCACATTAAACACTTAATTTGAGTTAAATAGAATTAAATAAAAGATACAAATATAAGTGTTAATCTCCGTTACTTGTAATGGTGCGATTTAAATGCAAAATCCGTAGTATTTGGTGAAACCGATAAATAGGTTTTGAATTTTAAAAATTCCACTTCTCTTGTTTTTTTTAGTTTTGTTAAACCAACCACAAAGTATAATTATTCGGCGTTTCCAAGCGCATTAAATAAAGCCAGACCGCGATCGTTCACAAAATAAAATAGCCAAGGTTTACAATCACTATTTTAGTCAGCTTTTTCGGTTTTTTAATTAAAGTGTATGAAATTTTGGTTCGCAGTTGTATTTGTTGTTGATTTTAGTGAGCGGCAGCTGTTGCTGGCGGGGAAACACACACATCTGTTCCGTTAAAGCCAAGTTAACTCCAGTTAACGATTGTCTTGGTTTCTCACGGAATTTTTACTGCAAGATTTTTGGCAACACAAGTAAGCACACACTCACACACCCGGAGATCTTCACGGTGATTAAGAATAACGGTGATGTGGGGGAACGAAGAGCGGGAGAGAGGCACTCCCACACACATCTGTCGCCATCTAACACGTATACACAAACACACACACAGTCATGGGGCAATAAACAAATCCACAAAACTAAACAAAACAAATTACGAATTCCGTGTAAATGAACTTTGGTGGGGAGCGCGTTTTGAATTTCTTTTCGCGTTTTGTTTGTCATCCGCTTTGGACGGGCATGTATGCTCGACTGTGTCTGTGCGGTTGCGAATGGAGAGCGGAGGGCACTCGAGAATCGCTGTTGCCGGCGTTTTTATGTTTTCTCTTCTTCCCGTTCCGTTTCTTTCTTTTTTCGCCCTCGCCCTTTTTTCTGACTCTCTTTTGGCGGCCTCTTCGCTTCCTTCCCCCATGGCCCCCACCCCACACATACACTGACAGGCACACACAGACACAGGCTACAGACACTTGTACATGCAGGGTCGAATTTGTTACTCCGATTAAATTATCCGCCTTCTGCTTTTGTTTGCCGCTTTTACAGCTTTCTTGCTTGCTTTGTTTTTCCGTTTTAATTTTTTTTATTTTCGTACTTCTGCTTTGGTGCGTCGATGCAAAACAAGAATGAGAGCCGCAATCAGCGAGCGAGAAAATTTACCCAACCGTCTGATGAGTCACACACACACAATTACACTAGCACAGACCTGGGAATTTTCTGCTGCAAAATTTTTTCTTCGCACCACAGGTCCACTTTCAAATGCAATTTTCACCCCTAATTCTTTCAGTTGCGGTTTCAAGACGAACTCCTGGCTGTGGGCGAATGTGTATTGCAGCACTTTCTGATGTTTTTTGGCATGAAAACTGCGTTTAAAGATATAATTTTATAATTTTGCTTCGCAGTTTCGAGAGAGACAACACGGCATATCGATACGCATATCGATATTTAGGAGAGGTGTGTAAATATCGATGTTTTCAGAATTGTTTGAATCATCGATGTTTTTTCGACCATCGATGTTTCTGTGCCGTCACTAAAAACTTTAATTTAGTCATTGCAACAGTGTTGACAACTATTCAAGCCAAAAAATAGCTAACCGAACCGTTAGCTAAAAAATAGAGCTAGGGCAGTGAAACGATAATTGTATTAATGAAGACAATTTATTAGTAAATTATTTGCAAAACCTTTTTAAGTTCATTCACTTTCGGCATTTATCTTTTAAGTTTTCAATAACAATTTCAATATTTTGTTTTTGCCTCTTTAGGCAATTCCAACTCTGAGATGACGGGAATTTAAAATGGTCTTTGTTTTTTTGGTTTATTACTGTGTATAATAAAAAATCTGTAATAATATTGTATTTTTTTTTTTATCGAAATCGATGTTTTTAAATTTTTTTTTTTTAATTACATACTTATATATTTAGATGGTGAACCCTATTACATTTTACATATCCGACATCGAATAATAAGTAAGGAGTATAGGATATCCTTTATATTTCAATTATTACATTTTGTATGTATGTTTGAAAGAATATCTAATTCTGACTTCTACTAACCTTATCTTCTAATTATTTTTTAAATATTTTTTTTGAACTACAAAATATTCCGCCGATCTGCTTCGAGAGTACACGCATTGCACGCCCTGCAAGAACTTTTGACAGGAACTTTTTTAACACGGAGTGTAAAGTAAAATTATCCGAAAAGTGCATGCTGAAACTTTTAAACGTTGTCATGGAAAAGGTTGATAACTTTGGAAACAAAAAATTGTAGACAACTTTGATTCGAAACAAGACAAATAGGTGAGTCGTGTCGTGTCCCTTCTGTCAGTGTTGAAAAACGTCAACCATAAACTGGTTATATTTTCTGAAGTAGAGCGCGCTTTTGAAATATAATTCGAAATGTCTAGTTAAGACTATTTCGTTATTCTTTATTGCTAAAAACTTTATTTTAATAAAAATATATTCAAATGATAACATTAGCTATATAAATTCGAATAATTAAATATTTTAATTTTTGAAAATGAAACAATTTCATTTTGTTAGGTATTATTAGTTTATTTAATGTTTGTCTTTAATGCATTACAAATGATCAATATTGGATATTTCAGATAGTTTTCCTCTGTTGTAGCCGGTGTTTTTGTGTCGCCTTTGGGTTTCGTGTGTGTATTTTGTGGTGGACTCTGTGCAAATTATAGATATTATCCAGTAATACTTAATATTTATAATGTTTCAGCATTTCGAGCAGTAGTAGGTTTTAATCGAACTCTATCTTTAGTGATTTAATGTTGCGCCCAACGTTAGTTTATATTCCTTCAATTGTTCTATTCTTGTTCTATTTTACGGTATAAAGTTGTTTTAGCTAGCTAAAAAACACATGTACAGTCGCATATAAGTAATATGTATATATATTTTGTAATTTTTCTTGAAAATTATGCATTTGTTTGGTGTTATTTTTTAAATAACATTTTTTGTTGTTGACAAAAAATACAAGTTTAGGCATAGGGCGTATGTTACAATCGTGTTTATTGGCCGTTTTTTGGGAAGTTTCTTACGAAGGAAATTAAAATGTGCTCCTAATTAAGTAAAAAATATAAATCAAATTGATTTAAGCTTGCAGAAAATTGTTCTTAAATTTGTTTCATGTGTATATTGTTTTGATTTAATTTGCACTAGATATATGTACGGTTTTCTCATAGATTTAAATGCAGTTATTGATATTGGTTAGTTTTAATGGGAGTTCTATTAACTTTGCAGCGTTCTTGGGTGTATATGTATATGAGTTTTCTATATTGGTATCTGCAATTTTAAATTTATTTATGCATTAGTTGTATACTCTTTTGTATTTTTATGGACGTCTGATAATTATTTGCCTTGAAATTAAAGCGTAATGTGCATGAAACTTAGTTTGAAGATAGCGCAAGATACAAACTGATGCTCGTTGTAAATAGATTTTATACTCGTAAAATGTATTAGATTTGCATTTAGCTTGCGTTGTTTCATATTCGTTATCGTTATCGTATTCGTTTGAACCTAAATCTAAGTGGTTTTCCCTTTCGAAATTGGATTTCAATGCGATCGCGTCCTTGAGCAGACCTGCGCTCTAAAGGTAAATTAGTGCTGCATCGGAAAACGGGCCTTCCCCGCTCCGATAAGCCAGCCTTTCGACTAGAGTAATAGACTAAATTTAACAATTCCTTTTGGGGCATCAGAGACTACAGCTAGGAATGGGTTTACTTTTATTTTATAGAACAGGAGCTCGAAACAAAACAAATAGCGCTTCCTGGAATCGGTAGCTTTTTGAAATAATGTTTTCTTTTTCTTCTAAATAAATAATTAAAAATTTAATATTGGTGAAGGTAACCCACATTTGTTTCGTTTCGAGTTCCTGAGTTAGATTAAGGTGCTTATATAGTCCACACCTGGACCTTTTCGGCCACCACACACCAGCTGGCCCGCTCATAGTAGGAGCTTACGATATGCAGGCTAGCCACATGGTGGTTAATCAGTGCGTCCAGCTCGCCCTCACGGAACACATGGTAGTAACGGTGATGTGTACTGGCGCCACCTTGAGAGGGACTGTCCAGGGAGTTGGTGGAGCTGTTCGAGTGCTCCAGGGAGTCGCTGGAGGGTCGCTGCTGCAGGTTGGGTGGCTGGTGCGGCTCCTGCTGCGAGTGTTGTTGCTGCTGTTGGTGCGGCTGCTGTTGCTGCTGCTGCTGAGTGGCGGGAGGCTGTACCTTGAGGGCGGCCATGTTGCGCCTGCGCTGGCCGTAGTCCGCCATGCCCTCGCCCAGTTGATCACCGCCGCTGGCCTCCAGGGCTTCAGCCTCGGCATCTGCATCCTGCTCCTCCTGTTCCTCCTCCTCGGGTATGGCATCATCCTCGTCCTCCCTCACATCACTGTCTCCATCGTCCTGCAGGAGGTAGGCCGTCTCTGGATTTAGTTGATAGTGCCTGTTCCTCTTGTAGCTAAACTTGGAGATCTTGCAGTGCTCGTAGACGCCCAGGGAATAGCTGGACTCGTTCTCCTCTTCCTCCTCCTCTTCACCATCTTCCTCCTGGATGGTGAAGCTGCGGGTTTGCGAGGATAGCGATGAGGTGGAAGAGCTGACGGGCGATTGCTGTAGGCTTGGTTGGGTGGATAGATTTGCCAGCATCAGGCGGCGTTCCCGGAGTTCGTCCCGAAAGGAACTCAAATCACCATTGGATCGTTTCTTGCTGCCTCCCAGAATATCCGACAGATCTCCCATTCCAATGCCATCCAAATAGCGACACTCGGTGCGGCTGCTCTTGTCCTCCAGTTCCCGCTGGAGTTGGGCAGTAAGCTGCTCCGCAAATTCCGCACAATCCTGCTTCTGAATCGATTCCCTTTTCTCCGGCAGCAGGGTAGCACTGTCCGCATTCAGGATTATATCATCCTCCGCCTGGGATCTGGAGCTATTAATTTGCAGCTCACCCTTGTGGTACTGTTCCTGTTGCCGACTAATCATTTGCGCCAAGCTGGGCTCACCCTCATCCTGGGAAGCTGAATTGGAGTTGGTCGACACGGCTCCGCCCTCATCACTACCCGAGGGCACCTTTGCCGATCTCGGGGCGCTAATCACACTGTCTATGGAGTCTGGCGACGAGGGCTCACTGGAGTCGCTGTCCAGGTCATCAGTGGCTGGATTGAAGAGCTCCAGAGAGAGCAGTTTACTGGCAAGCGAAGTGGTGGAGGCGGAAGTGGATACTCCAGAGCCCGAGGCTCTTCGAACGATGGGGAAACTCTGACGTTGCAGCTGAAGGGATTGCTGTTTTCGGAACTTGGGAATGGGGGGCAGATCCCTGATGGCCTGGCGGGTTATCCGGCGAACAGGTGGTGATTCCTTGAGGGAGTCCTTCGAGCTCTCCCTTAGCGACTCGCTTGTGAGGTGTTTCTGTGGCTCCTTCACCTCCCTTGGCTGCTCCTTGTGAAGCTCCTTCTGTTGCTCCCTCTGCTGCTCCTTCTGCTGCTTGATGTGGGCCTCATCGAAACTGAATCTAGCCGGCTTCGAGGGCGGTGTCAGGATGGCCATGGCCGCAGAGACCGCTGCCGTGGACTGCGGCGGAGATGTGACATTGCCCTGGATGGCTGCCGGCGAGTGAGCTGGCGTTGGTGGACAGGGCATGATCAGCGGGGACGTTGGCACTGAGTGAGTGGGTGGTAGCCGAGAACCAGGATTCACACCCTGCTCCCGTCCGGCAGCTCCTTGGGCCCGCTGCCCGTTGCTGGACGAGGAGTTGCTCGAGCTGGAGTTGGAGTTGTGGTGCTGCTGCTGATAGTTCAGTTGCTGCTGATGCTGTTCCGGCTTTGGGATGAATATAACCGAAGCGAAGCTGTCCTCTGACTCGATACTAGTATCCGACTGCAGGCTGCTGTCCTTGGAGGAGTCCGATCCAGATTCCCGGGAGTGCCGCCGGGCCTTGTCTCCCTGCCCACCATCCGCGCAGGCGGGACATTCTTGCTGATACTGGCTGCAGTGGCAAAGATTACCCATGGTGCACTCCACGCTGCTGCAGTACGTCACGGGACCCGTTGCGGAGGCAGCGGAAGCGGGCAGCGGGATCAAGTGGGACAGATGATGAACAGGGTGGTGGTGATGATGATGATGATGCTGGTGGGGTACTTGAGTCACTCCCTGCTTGTTATTATTGTTTAGCGTGGGACTCTTGTCAGTCGGAGCTGGATTCTGGAGAGGATTCGCTGGCATCTGCGGGACACTCTTGATGTTCTGAATCAACTTGCTTATGCCCGTTTTCGTGACCCGTTCCAGACTGCCCGTGGAGCTCTTAATCTTCGTGGTAAAGCCCTCTCGTATCACCTGAAGCCTCTTGGAGAACAGAGCCGAGCGACAGAGGAAGGCCTCGTTCAGGGAGGTCTGCTTCTGGATACGTTTCCGTACTCGCTCCTTCTCCCGCAGTCGATTGCAAGCCATTAGCTCCTCGTTCAGCGAACTCTGTTTTCGCAGGAACGCACTGCTTCCCGGAACTGCTCCTCCTCCGCCTCCAGCTGCTGCTGCTCCCGAAGGCGGTGTGGCCACCATCGTGGAGGAGCTCGTTGAGGATGGATGCTGATGAAAGTTGCCGGCATAGCAGCCACTCCTCGTATAGAGGCTGCTGCTCACCCCACCGTTGGAGCCATTGTAGCTGCTCAGCATCTGGAAGGTCTCGTGGGCGGAGGGAGTGGCAGCATCATCCTCGCACAGGGATTGCTTCTGCTTGATGAGCTTGGGCCGGCGGCTGAGGGTGTTCCCAGCACTGGCTGTTGTGGGCGGCGAGTGTCGTCCCCCATTCATCTGGAGCTGCTGACCCTCGGGAGCATTCAGGAGCATAGCTGCCGCTGTGGCCTTCGATTCACCAGGAATTAAAGGACCTCCCAAACTGGGGACACTGGAGCGGGAGCGCACGATCTGACGGGGTGGGGGTTGAAGGATGCTGCCCAGGCTGCGGGACTTGAGGCCAGCGGATAGCGGCGGGTCGGGAAAGTCTTCAAAGTCCTCCAGACGCCGCAGCTCAATGGGCAGGTCCTTGGCATCCTCATAGTCCAGGCTGCTGTCGTTTTTGGTGTCCTTCGACGACCAAGAGTCCATGAACCAGGCATGCCGACGACCACGGGCCAGTTTCTGAAGAAACATTATTTAATGGTAAATTAGTTTCCTGAACGAATTGATTTAGAAACTCGGTAATACCTGAATGGCCCTTCGCACGAAGCTGTAGCAGGACTCCCCCGGCGAAGAGGAACTTAAACTTGAGCTGTCCCCATCCCCCGCCGATCGACTGGAGTTCGTTGAGTCCTCGGTGTAGGCATGATAAGGCGGCTGAAAGTTATCATCGTCCTCCTCATCCGAGTACGAGTAGTTGCGATTTTTAGGCGGCTGCCAGGGTATGAGCACATCCTGCGATTCAAACCGACGATGTCGCTGTTCCAGAGCCCAAACGGTGATCACCACACGACCGCCAATCCTCAGAATCCTGGCCAACTCTCTGAGAGCCTGCACCCGTCGCTCCGTGGTGGCAAAATGATGAACCACAGCCAGGGAGAGCACGGCATCGAAGCTATCGTCTCGGAAGGGTAGCTCCAGATTATCGCAGAGGGCCACCTGTAAACAGGATAACGAAAGGATTGGAGTTTGAGAATTATATTTAATAGAATAAATATAACTTAAATAAATTCAATTAATTCAGTGTGATTTCCCAGGGCAACAGTGTCATATAACCGCAAAATTCCTTCCCATCGATTCCCCGAGGAAGCGTGTCAATTAAGCTGTGCCAAAGATGGCTATGGCTCCACAAGCCAACAAGAGCTTGGCGACAAGTCTCTGACAGAATCCTCCCCCAGGACATGACCGCAAAAATATGCAAGCCAACAACCCACATGATGCAATTTTCCGGCTCCGCATTGGAGAAGGAAAGGGTTCCGTTCGCTGCTCAAAAAGGATGTCACTAACTTTATTTCCATAGCAAAGGCAATGCAGCCTGATTGAATATGCCAATGTCCTTTTGGCTGGCTGACATCTTTTTGCAATTAGCAACTTTTCCGAGCTGGCCAAATAAAGTTATCGGATTCGGTTTTGGAACAACAGCGGAGATGCCTTGAACAGTGACCTATCCCAACTTGCGATGCACACACGTCATTTATATTCATTTTCATGTCATGGCCAGAACTGATGGTGTCAATTACGGTAACAGGGGACACGGAACAAAAGAACAAATAAAAAAAAATGAAATATACAAACAAGGGAACGTGTTTTCCATTCGCACACACACCACACACAGATGACAAACTGCTGAACGTGTCAATGGAGTCAATGGGAAAAACAGTATCGATTCTGGCCAATTTCTAGCCATTTTCTTCGGAAATTTAATAGCCTTCGGAATTAATTTACATTGCTCGCTCAACTGTTAAATTAAATATAGGTAAGAGTTTCATTTTAATGCTGCCTCTCGTTGTTGAAAATTTGTGCAATTTATTTGGTGCAATTTTCTATTTTCTCGTATTTCCGTTTCCTGCCACCTAATATCGCAAAATGTCCGTGTGAACTGTGAACTGTGGGTGGTTCGTTGTATGTGCCTTTTGCTGCAGAAGGGAAAAAGGAAAATCCTTGACCCGCCAAAGCCTTCTGCTACTCCTGCTGAGAGTTTTCCGCTTGGGGTGCTGCCTGGCCACCTGGTTAAATGTGAAAAATTCAGACAAACTGAGGCATTGCAGCCCGAAGAAGTCTTTAGCAAATATCAATTAACATAAGTGTTATTTCCAGGACCATGGACTGTCAATGGGAATCGAAGTATAGACACTTTTTGGATGCATTAGAAGATGAAGACATTTAGGGGGTTTTTTTTTTGGTAGCAAAAGCTAGGCAGACAATGTCTGTTAAGGAGAAGCAAAGAAGCAAACTGCAGTTTGGCTTTCAATCCGTGAGCTTTAGCTTCCCTTTCAAGGTAAACACTCAAGAGGTACATGCTTTACAGGATATTAAATGTAAAAAAAACTATATGTAGTATCCATGAAACACTATCCCTTAATAATTTCTCCAAGTGAAAGATGCTCAGGCAAACAAACGGAATCCCATGCATTTTAGGTAAGCAAGCTTTTGTTGGCTGCTCATGAACATAACTCTTATTGCAGACTCATTCATCGGATAGTCCCTGTCCTCCTATATCCTTTATTCAGGCGCATCCAGCTCGCAGGCATGGGGATGGCTTGGGTTCTTGGGTCCTTTATTCTCTTTACAAATCGTATTTATAGCAGTCGCCATTTTTCATACACACACACTGGATGGGGGGGTGTGTGCGTGTGTGATGTGTGTAATGTCACACGGGTCGGGCACATGACGCTTTTGAATTTTGAAATTTATTCTGACAGGCTTCTGCCAAGCGAGGGTGAGTGTCAGGTGAAAGTGCGGCATGTTACGCATACGCCACGTTGCACGCTAATGAGGCCAGAGCGCAATGCAAAGTCACCAAAAGACACACACACACACACACACACACTCACACAACGATAGGCGGAGCACCAAAAGACATCCTTATACTGTATGCAGTTTCTCTTTGCGGCTTATTTAAATGGCGCTTTAGCCAAGCACAGACCCTCAGGCCTGCTTCTTTTTACCTCCTTTTGCCGTGTTTGCTCTCTGTGTCTTTCTCCCTTTTGGGCCGATGAAAATTGCAGGTTTCACCTGGCCCAGAAAAACCGAAAAACTCTGCACCTGCCTCCCGCTTTCCGCAGCTATTATTGAGTTTCACTTTTTTATGTTTGCGGCACTGTTGCCATTTTTATGCGCCATTTTGGGCGGGTTAAGATTTACGAGCAACCAGCAGAGCTCCACAGGATGTCCTCACTCACTGTGCGAGTGTGATTTCGATGCTTTTGTGTACACAGAGAAGAAATTTTGTACCCTTTCAGGGTATTATAATTTATTTTAAGAAGCTTGAAACGTTGTGAAGGAGTCATTTTCGACCCTATAAATCATATATATTAATGATCGGCATCAATATTGCCTTACTTACTGGGCATGTTCCAAAGAATTTAGTTGTTTTGTAATTTTTTCAAAATAATTTATGGGGTTACATCGTTAAATTTGTCAAAAATTGATACAAAACTTAAATTTTTCAATTTTAAATGAAGTATGCAATTTTATAAGCCTAACAAAACTTGCATAGGAAAGCTTTCCGAATTCAAATTAATGCTTTTTTGGCTTAGTTATGAGTTTTTTAAACTTTATATGAATTTCCCAAGAATTAAACCTACTTCTTGGTATGCATTTTCTTTCCCTGTATGTAGATGTTCCATTTCCCAGTTTTATTGCTTTACAAAATTATTGAAAATCAGGCCATGCACGAGCTGAGCTGCAGAAATCAAAGTTGCAACTTTGGCCCCGCGCCGAAGTTAAATTGGTTTTGCATAAAGTTTTGCGATTCCGCAACTAAAACGTAGCATTCGCTTGCATGTCACGTTCGCATTGTGTGCATTTTGCAGTTGGCTTTAGGTTTATTTTAAACACATTAGGCAAATAGAAATAACGTTGGATCGGATCGGATGGGATCGAAAGGGGATTACATTCACTACGCTTTGTTATGCAAATGTGTTGCCGTTGCACAGTGATTAGAAACACATGCGGATAATCGTTGGTTAAATGTCAAGGACTCAAGGACCCAAAGAATCAAGGACTGCGGGGGCACTGGCAGCGGAAATTGGAGGCTCTGGACTCCTGTCCGGTCACGGTAATGTGGCATGTTATTAAATAAATTAAATCGTTTTCATCGTAAATCGCAGTTGCAACACATTGTTGTTGCTGGCAGCCGTCAGTCCCACGCAAAAGCAATTTAAATGCGAAGAATGCGTGTTGTCGATTATGGAGAAGGAAAATGGTAAATGGTAAATGGTAAATGCATTTTCCAAGCCCTGGGAAATGGTACTCCAACGTCCGTCCGCCTGGAAATGGCACCATAAATAAGCGCCCGGCGTTAGCAATAGATTATTGCAGAGAGCACATTGCATACCTCAGGCGGCCACCGCTGAATAACGGTCTTTATATAGCGGGGGTAGTTTGCAATTTATTGTAGTTCCTTGTAAAAGGAAATGTTCTCGGTTGCCAACAGCAGCAGCAGCAGCAGCAGCAGCAGCAGCAGCAGGACAATAGCAAAGGGGAACCCCAGGCAGCAGCAGCAGCAGTGTGTTGTGTCATTGTTAAGGGGAATATTGTTCGAGGAAAGTAAGTGCGCCGTAGTTCATGTTCATTATGACATAGCCGAGCGTATCACTTAATTGTGGCGAGAAGAGCTTCAAGCGTGCACTTTCGCCCCATAAACTTTTCAATTTCCAAATACTTTATACTGAAGTGGGGGTTATACCCTTTTTTCACACTCGTAATAAAGGGGAAGTATATATTTGGGAGTGAGCTAAGGGGATGTAGTATGACCTATGATCTCCCTAAGTCTGATATAAACTTTAAAAAGAATAAATTCCTGCTATTATCCAATGATTATCCTTTCTAAACCCACTTAAATTTCTCATTTAAGAGCTGCTAGCAAATCCCCATCTTTATTCCCAATGGCTTAATTTTTCAGCAGCAGCAAAAGCTTGAACTGCATTTAATGCCATTGGCCATTATGCAATTCTGCTGGTTGGTCACGCATCTGCAGGTTATTAGATCCGGCTCGTTGGTCCGCTCTCCAAAACTCGTTCTCGTTTTACGGCTCCATTGTGGACGGTTTTTTGCAATTATGAGGCATTAAAAACTACCGGACGGAACATGTGCAAATAATAACCCAATGATAAGCATAATTTATGCACTTTCCGCTAATGGCCAACTCAAGTGGGGCCAGGCCGGCATTCGAATCGAATCTACTAAGCAGATGTTTTATGGCCCAGCTTGTTCGCTTTTAAATGGGTCAATTGCATGGCCAAGAGAATTTCAAGGAACACGACCGCTGCAAACACATGCAATTAGCAGGCTGCAATTAGATTGCACAAACACACCACACACTCCAAGGATGTGCTCATGCGAAGTTCATTTAGCAAATTTCATTAATAATAAACTTTTCAAAAGAATTTTACCAAGAAAAGAACAAGTTTCTAGTTAAATTAGGTCATTTAAATAGAGGAAAAACAGCGTATATTTTTTAACAGGAAAATAGAATTCGATTTTAAATACCAGCTTGGATAAATATGTTTTAAACTGGGTAAAATATAGTCTAAAATTTATATGAAATGTATATTAAGTTTTTTAATATGAAATAATTTAATTTTCGTTAAGAATTGATCACCAAAGGTTACCATCAAAGGTAGTAAAGGTACTAACTAAGCAAGGATAACTAAGAGCTTTCCTTAAGTTTATGGGAGCTATAATTTATGTTTGCTCTCACAAGGACCTATCTTAGTTTTGTGTTAACCAAGTCGAACTGATTTCCTTAAAGCACGATACAATTTATAGTAACATTTCTCTTGAGACAGGAACTTAAGACTTAGGGATTCAGGACTCTAGAAGACTCACCTCACCGCCCTTCTCGTGGGCCACCTTGCTCAGGCGGTAACAACGCTCCACGCCAATGGTGCATATGGCCGGGTTGCATTGCGTTAAATATCGCCCACTCCCGCAGCCCACGTCGCAGACCACAGAGCCAGGCTCTAGCCCGGCCAGGAAATGGGCCATCCTGGGACGCACAGGACCCGTGGGCTCCTCGCAATGCTCGTACACGTCGTGCACGTAGGCACGCTCCAGAGCTGCAGATCGGCCGCTGGCATCGCTACTCGAGGGTTTCGCTGGAGCTGTCGTTGTTGCAGGTTGCTTCAAAGTCTTTGTTGCCTCGATGGCAGTTGCTCCTCCTCCTCCGCCTCCTCCATCTGAGCTGGCTGCTGCTCCGCCTGTCTCAAGGGCTGTGGCCGTGGTCGGGGATATAACTGTGGGCGCCAAATCGCCCGCTTGGGTTATGCTGGATGCCGCATTGGTTGCCGTAACCGTTGTCAATTGCTTGGTCATTGTAGCGGCTGCTTCGTTATGTGTTGCTGGTGTCGATGTTGCTGCTGCTGGTGCTGCTGCTGCTGTGTGGCACTTGTCATATGTTGTCGAGAGGCAAACTTCATCTGCAGAATATGAAAGGGGAGAAAAAAACAAGGAAATCAGAAACGTTACAAGAACTTCATGTCAAAAACACAGAACTGAGTATGTGGAAAAGGGATTTATATTACTTTTTGCTAAAGATTTGTATGTTTTTGTTGTTGAAAAGAGTACTTTTTATACGGAATTGAAGTTTCTCTTTCACTTTGTCCTATTTTAGTATGAAAACATTTTTGGTTAGTGCTTTTAATTAAAATGAAAATCGCCGAAGGCAACATAAACAATTGAACAAAAAGCCAGGAAATGGTCTTCTAAGGAATCCCATGTCTAAAACAGGACACATCATTTCCTGTATAACTACAAGTCAAAGCTAATTTATTTAAATAAATAAAGCACATATCCATGTGTCTGTCAAGTCAACAATAAATGCAAATAAAAGCTAGTCAAAAACACAAGACTTCACTTAACTTGTCTTTAATCTATAATCCTTATTATTTGCTTTGGTTTTCTTCTAAAGAACCGCTTTCAAAATAGATAACTAACTTTTCAGATTATGCAATTATCATTGGAAGCAAAATATTTCATCAGAGATAACTAGCTAACTAGCTTCTGTTGCTATCTGAAAATCCTCACGACTCGACGAGGATAATTCGTTAAGCTAACCTTTTTCGATATGCAAACTGCAGTCTAATTTATAATCCGCCAAACAATTTGTATAATTAAGCCAATTGCCTTGCTGAATGCAGGCCATAAAGTCAATTTCAGACCAAACTTCTTGTTGCATGCCGTTGGAAATTCAGTGAAAAGCCAAGAAGGAATAAAACGACTTGCAGTAGGTCGCAAGGCGTTTGGTCTTAGCTGCATGACATCAAGCCGTAAAATTGTTTAGAGCCAGGAGCGGATTCGGGGAATATATATATATCTACCTAACCTACTGAATAAATTTTGTACCTGATAAAGTTCAAATAAGTATATTTCAATAGGTCATAATATATGAGAACTTAAATTAATTTTCTTTATATACCAAATTATAGAATAAATTTTAAGTATTTAGTAGCATAATTCCCTTAAATATTCCTCGATCTTTAAGCCCCCAAGTAAGCCATAAAAATATATATATCAGGCTTAAAAAACCCCGTCAGCAAAACCCTCTCGCACACACAAACTCGGCTCGGCCATGTTGCATACCGGATGTGTGGACACTGTTTTGGTTTGGCATTGTTGTTGACATTTTATAACCGTATTTCCGGTGGCAGTTCAAATGGAAATTTCAACGCCATCGGCGAGCAGCCAATGGCCATTGTGTCAGACCTAATAAATTGCATTAAAATGCTGTTGCACAAAAGGAAATTACCCAGCGTGGGCCTTGCAGTGGGTCCTTCCGTCGTGGGTTGCTCCCACAGATAGTAGGAGTAGGTAGGAGTTGGATGAGTAGGTGGCCAGTGGGCGGGCTTAACTGCAGCTTCAGCAGCCGTAGCAGTGGGCGCCAAACGACATTAGTGCAGTTAAATGGAATTATAATTGAAATCTGATTAAAAGCAGTTGTAGTGCCAACAATGACGCAGCATTCAGGACGCTGGACTGAGCCCAGGGACTACGGATAGGTCATGTTCAAGGGAGTGGGTGGGGGGTGTTAATGAGTTTTGCACCCGCCCTGTGTGTATGTGTTAATAAGCGCTCTAAATGAGTTATAAATGTCCTTTTGTATATTAAGGCATTTATATTGAAATTATGGCGGAGAAGGTGGGGAAAAGCGCAGAGCTTTGCCAAAGGGAAAATTCAGAAAATATTCAAAGTAACGAAGGGAAATACGTTTTGCGTATGGAAGGAAATTTATTATAGTATAATTGTAATGGTAATTCAATAGAGTTTAAGAAATTAAGTAGGAAAAATATTGAATTCATAATCTAAAACACTATTAAGGAGATGTTATTCAATTTGTAAAACATTTTGAAAGCCGAATAACGAAGTAAAGTCAACCACAAGTTGATTCGATTTGTAGTTTATTTAATTACCCATCTTAGAGCTCCTTGTACTCCATATATCCTGATCATGCACTACCCACACTCTTTGTGAAATATCCTCTCTCCCCTAGGAAATAGCTTTCCATTATGTTCCTTAGATTTTTCTCAGAGCCTTATGGGCATTCATTAACATTGTTTGGTGTTTGGCCTAATCAATAAAGTGCTTTCCTGCCGCAAGCCAAGAGCACTCATACGCCCCGTGGACCGGGTTAGAGACTACTACAAGATGCCAGGACTTGCTGGATTGCCTGGCAGGATGCTTACCTTTTGCGGGGCCGTTGTTGCGCTGATAATTCGCATTCAACAAAGCCGTCGAGGACGCCAGTTCCGCTGATAACATGCGACGACAAAGCCGATTGCCCGGATAGGCGGCTGCTGATGAGGACGATGATGATGGTGTTGATGATGATGATGGTGGTGGTGGTGATGATGGCGATATTTAGGGACGACAACCGGGCCGTGGTCGGAAAATCAATGTGCATGCATAATTTAAAGTCAGTTTGCGGTGCCACTTTCAGGATACTTGTATATACTTTGGTTTTATTTTTAGACTTTTGCCAAGCCGGGGCACGTTTTATACGATAATTTGCTCAATTTATTTTTTTGAAATCTATCATTATGGCAACTACACGATGTAATTGCTATTGTTGTTGCCGTTATTGTTGCTGTTGTTGTTCGCTGGGAACTATGGCTAAGGACACGCTCCGCTGTCCTGGCTGTGTGCCACACAATATAGGATACACAAAATGCTTTTCCACTGGGCTCCTGCTTGTGCTCCCGCTCCTGTCAATGCTTTGCCTCTGGCATATGACGTTTCCTTTGTGCCTCTGTGTATGGGTGAGTGTGTGTTTGTGTGTGAGTGTTTGATTTTCTTCTTCTTTCAGCCACTTTTCACTTGCACTTTTCTCCCAAGACTCCGTCTCTCACACTCGGACTTTGGGCTTTGGCCTATCAAATGCGGCTCTCCCCCAATTACTTTTCCATTATCGCCCTCGATTCGATTCGATTCGATTCGGTCCTTATTTTGTTATACGTTTAATTTCTAGGACACTGGCACTTGGCGCTTCAATTATACACACACGCACACACACAGCTATGTAGATAAGTGCGTGTGTGTCTGTGTGGTTGGTATCTTAGCGAATTTCCCGTTTGCTTTCGGCCGCTCTCGGTGTCCGTACTCTCGGAGTTAACGTCGCGAACTGACTGGCGGAATTGAAGGAAAAGCACCTCGTTGGACTCCAAACCGCGTGCCCAAGGATTTTCCTCATGCTCCAGTGTCATGTGTGTGTGAGTGTGTGTGTGTGTGTGGAACGCGTCGGAAAAGCTCTGGCAAAACTTAACGAAAGCTTTCCGGATGCGGGGACCACCATCGCTCAGCTGTTCGCCGCAGAGAGGGAAAGTGCCAAAGGAGCAAGGAACAGCCGCAGGTCTTTAGGTTAAGAGATCTTTTAGGAGGTCTTCTATTAATTGTTTTAAAATTAAGGTTTTATAATATTAAACAAATTAGAAAATTATTAGAAAAAGAGAGATTTTGTAAATATAACCAATATAGGAAAACATTATTATTTTAATTATTTATCTTATAATTCTTATTATTATTATATAATTATTAATCATTTTATTGTAGAATGTATTTGTCTATATCTATGTGTATTTTAAACGTATTTTTAATCAATTTCGTATAGGATTCAATATAAAACAACTTCGTTTAAAGAAGTATAAAACTATTTAAATACAATATAATGCAAAATATTTACTAAAATAATATAATATAATTCTATTAATAATATAACCCAATAACAAATAAGCAAATATCGGTTTAAAAGTTCGTAGCTCTTTGGCTTTGTTTCAATTTATTGCCATAATACTCCCTTCGAGAGCTCAAGGGTCGCCTAAAAATAGACACCTAGAGGCAATTAAAATGAGAAAAAAAAGAAAATACTAAGAAAAACAACAGGGAAAATATATAAAAAAGAAAAGCTCCGAAAGTCGCCTTTGTTCGGTTGACGCCAGGCAGCTTGTCAAATTTCATGAATGAACCCTAAAGCGCAATTGAAGAAGTCGAAAAGTGAAAAATTGCAAATGGGTAAAGGGAAATTGGGCAAGGGGGAAAAGGGACAAAGAGGAAAAGTCAAAAAGGGAAAGCAACAACCGCATGTGGAAAGCGCGAGCACAGAAATAGAAGCTTCGTCAAGTTGGCCAGCAAATTGTGTCGAAAATAGCCAAGAGCCCGACCGAGAGCAGCCATAAAATAGGCGAAAAATAGCTGGCCGATTTTATTTTATTTTGCAAATGGCGCAAACTCCACCCGCCATCCATCCTGCTCCCACACCCATCGCCCATCTCTGTCGCACGCGTCCCTCAGCGTCCGTCAGCCGATTATTTTTGATGAATGAAAAGCTTTTTGTTTCGGCTTTTGCCGCTATCTGCGGCCCGCGTGGAAAATCCACCAAAAGGGAGGAGGGAAACTCAACGTCGTCACTCAACCCCTCCAACTCTCCCGCCTGAAGCCGAAGAGCACGGCACTGTAGTTGTAAAATAGCAACATTCCCCCGCATAGTAAAAGCCCTCCTCTATATATGCATGCTATATATATATATATATATATATCGGAGTGGAGGGATCTCGGGATCCCGAGCGTCACATGTCCTTTTTGGGCCGCATGACTAATACAGGCAAAATGGCAAACGTCGTCGTCGCAGGATGTGGCAGGAGCACATTTGGCGACATGCCAAAGCAGATACGCATTCTCAAAACAAAATGTATTGGCACCGAGAAAGATAACTTACTAAAATTAAGAGTTATTGGTAAAATTAATATTGTCATTTTAAAAATCCATATATGGCTATAATAAAAAATTTCCCAGTTTATACCAAAATTTGGTACTGTAACTTACCGTGTAATAATAAATTCAATATTTTGTATTTGGGTAAAAAGAAAATACATACTTTTTTGTTAGGATTAAAACAATTGTTTAATAAAAAATGTAACGAGTTCACAAGAACTGCACCATACCCTTGCAGAGTATTATAATTTTACTTCCGAATCAAAATTAATGAATATTTGGCTTTGTTATGAGTTTTTTAAAATATGATTTGTTGCAAAAATTGGCATACAAAATTAATAGAAACTGATGTTCATCTTAAGTCTAAGATCTACATAGATATCCAAATTGAAGGTCTCAAAAAAGTATTTTCACAATATAAAATTCACAGATATTATATATCACTGCATTTTTTCTTCCGGTGTTAACCCTCCCACCATAATGTCTGATTTTTACCGGTAGAGGAGTTGATGTCGTCACCGTGATGCGATGGATACGCTGTTGAATCATTCAGTAGCAAAAAACAGGGAATGGTTGCTTTTTTATGGCATGTTTCCAACAAAAGAACCAAACTTTTCATGTGGCAGATTGAACTACAAGTATAAGTTTACAAGTGGATGCGACTTTTATGATTTGTTTCGCCAAATGTTATAGCTGTCGTGGGCCGGGTACGTCACAGCCGGTGACGCTTCGAAATTTAACTTGCCCGAGGAGAATCACAGTAGAGGGACAAATATCTTTAGTGGCAGACGGAGATATACATAGTTCAGTAGGAGTAAACGGATGTGTGTCCCAGTGCCACACGCCTGGCCTGGCGGCGTTGTTTCTAACGAATGTGGCATCATTAGTTCTGTCATAGTCATAAATCATGCGCCCCGTTGAACGCTGGACGGGAGCACGCCGTGCCGGCTAAGGACATGCGGCAGCGACAGGACTGCATTGCTAATAATGTCACGTAGCACAGCTTTTGACAGTCAAGTGTCACACACACACTCTCCAGTTGCAAATCCTCTGGGATGGCCATGATTATATGCTGCTTAACATGGCCAATTACGACCCGAGTTTCAGGGAGTTGTGCTATGCGGCGGATGGATGATTTGAATATTCCCTAATCTCGCGCAGAAGCGTTGAATTTAATTACGAGAATTGTGCTGAAAATTATGCCAAAACATACGCAAAGACACACAAATAAAAACACGGGAGAAGCGGCGAAAAGCGAGAGGAAAACCCCATTTCGCAGGGCTATCGCCAACCGGCAATCGCAACACCCACTGACGCTCATCCTTATCCGTGTCCTTGGCAGGCTAAGACATTTCCTTTTTTTTGTGTGTGTGCTTGGGAGCGCTCTCCTCCTTGTCGTCGGCAAATGAAGTGCAAATTATGCCAACGGCCAGGCCATTGCAGGGAAAAAGCGGCTCGGAAAACAAAGCGCTTTCCACGTCGCGGCGCCTACCCCAAAAAGTAGGCAATACTTTTTGTCGGGAGGAGAGGATTTTCGGTGGGGCTTTTTCGAGCAAGATTACATGGCAAAGCATAACTTTATCGAGGTTCCCTGTGTATATACAGTATATATACATATCTGTGTGCTTGTGTATATATAGTATATAGCCCTAATGCTTGGCGCGTGGCATTGTCAGCGAAATCGGCGCCATTTGAAATGGTCGCGTGTAGTCGGTAGTTTTGCGGCAACCTCGCTTTTTCAAAGCCGGCCAAGATGCCATATCTTGTTGCGCATTTGTCCATGTACCACGGTCAATGGTCGAGCTTGGGGAGCCTTGTCCAGTGTCACCCTGACGTCAGCGTCCTCGATTGTAAGGCCCCCATATCCTTGCTCTGCCCCTGTCCAAGGCCAAACAAAACGACGGGCGGCGTCCGATGTCGCGTGACGCACAAGGATATTGAGTCCTACGATTGTCGTCGTCGTTGTCGCTGTTGTTCAGCCTTAGATGAATTCCTTGTGGCCCTGCGTTGTTCGTTGTTTGCTCTGTCACGTGTTTGCCCAGCCAATTAGAGTTATGGGAATAGACCAGCCATGGCTTAAAGCAGAGAAAGTGAGAAAGAGAGTATCGGAAAGCTTGAGGAGCTTTTATGGCCTAGTTGGTGCACAAACCAAATCGGGAAATTCGCTTTTCCAAGGGAAGGAAATACAGGAGCGGTTTCAGCGGAACAAAGCTTAGATTTATAAATTATATATGTATAAACGGTGATTCGGGTTTTCCAAGGATTTTCACCCATTGATATACATTCTTATTATTATTATCTTCAATATAATTGTGGTATAATTTTATTATTTTCTGAACTTCCTTAAATCTTGGTTCGTCAGTGATTTAAAGGCTTAAATCGAGTTCTTGGAGCTTTGACTAGATGCGCATCATCACACGCAGGTCAAGAATTAATTGGAGGATCGTGGGATCATCTTGAAAACCGGGCTACAACCTGGCTAGAACCTGGTAATCTTGTTGCTTTCGGGCGAGGGCGGCAGCGAGGAGACCGAGGAACGGGAAGGGCTCTGCTTGGGCCGTGGCGGAGGACGCTGGGGATTGATATTGGCATTAGCCTGGCGGAGATTGGCAAAGAACTGTTGGCGTCGGGGGCCACCTCCACGCAGGGGTAACGTGGGAATCTCACTGGGCGACTGATGGTTAACCTCATCCTGTGCACAGTGCCGCATGGCGGGATTAACGCACTCATAGACACTCTGCAAGAAAAAGTTTTAATTTTAAGTGACTTTAAATTGAAAGAAAAGCTAAGAAATCCCACCTGTTCCGAGGAGTACTGGTTGTTCTGAGCAAAGGCCAGGGAGGTTAGCGATGGCAGGGCCTGGGCAATGTCCGACCGCTCAATACCCCGCACAATGAGAAAGGTGCGTGGTATCAGGATGCCCACCAAAACTGCCCAACCGGAGGCCTGCAGTCCCAAAGGTATAGCCGCATCGCGCCACTCGTCTCCGAAGAGGGATAAGACTATCCAAGCCACCCAAATGACCATGATGAGCACTGTTCCTATAACAATTAGAATCCCCTCACGATAGTTACGCTGCGAACGGTAGAAAGATGGTATCAATGCGCCCAGACTGCAAAGCAGGATGAAGTCGTAAGCCAGGAGGCCCCACAGCCACCTTCCATAGTAGATATTCTCACAGGACACCGCCTCCGAGGCCACATGCATCACCACGAGTAGCTGCACCGACATGCCCACCTGGACGACGACGCTGAAGGCACAGATTACCGCCTGGATATAGCCATTGACATGGGACAGGAAGCCACCCTCTGAGCCAATCGAAGCCAGCATCACGGCCCGGCACAGTAGCAGGGAGAACACAAAGCAATAGACCAAGGTCATCAC